AAAGTGGTGTTGTAGAACATCATTTATTAGCAGGAAATGTGGATACACTACTACACTGTTAAGTAGGAAAAGGCAGATTTAAAAAAAAAAAACTGTACCCAGAAGTAACCCTAACTTGCACACAAGAAATACGTGTGAGAAACAAATTTCTGACAGGGTGCACCCCAAAATGTCAATAATAGTTAACAGTGAGCACTGTAAAGGGCGAACCTTGTTTTATTTCCTCGTTCATTTGTATTAAATGTCTTCTCCACGAACAACATCAATTACAGGAATTATTCACAACAACGACAAAATCAACTGCACCAAACAAATAATACCGTGCCACTGTGGTGGAGGGTCATGGAGAGTCCACCATGGATCACTACTAATTTCCTCCATGTTTGTTTTTCTCACTGGGAACCTAGTCTCGCCAGGCATGGTAAGAGATGTCCTGCGTCCATCCCCTTCCGTCATCACAGGACAGTGGAGGCAGGCTGCCCAGGACCTGGCCTCATTTTACAGTCCCGCAGGGCCCTCAGCTGCCCTTGCCCGTCCCTAGGAAGGGCAGAGAAAGTGCCAGCGCCCTGAGGTCCTCTCTCCTCCAGGATGGCTCTCTGCAAGACAGTGTAGGAAGTGACAAAAGGGAACAGCAAGGAAGGGACACCAGCAAAGGGAAGAGAAGGTGCTAAAGGCCAGCCGGCTGAGGTCAACGAACCGGGCGGGCTAGCCAGGGGGCTCCTCGCCTGGCAGGCGGCTCTCAGGAAGGCAGACCACATCCGGTCCCAAGAGTTCCCAGGCCCTGAGCACCCAAGGCCGCAAGAGAAGCCTCATGAGACCTGAGGTGGGCCTCTGAAAGAGCAGGAAGGAAATGAGCCCACCTTCTGGAACCTGGTCCCCAGGTTTGGGGACTACTGAACAGTCCTTTTTCAGCTCTGGGCCTCCAGGACCTGCTAGTGTGGGCGAGGAGAGAGGTGAGGACAGAGGGCTCCTGGACCTTCCCGGATCTGAATTCTGTGAACCTGCAGGACTTCCTCGCAGAGGGCCTGGCAGGAAGAGGAAGGGGCCAGGCATCCCCACCCAGCTCCCAAGGAGCCCCCTCCCCTTCCCCTCAGCAATGTTCCCACTGCTATTTTTAGAACCGTCCACAGGAAGCAGAGTGTCTCTGCCAGCCCCCGCCACACTCCACACACGGCCCAGCTCCAGGTAAAACACAGCAGCCCATTCATTCCCTTCCAGCCAGAACGTGCCCCGGAATTTGTAGACATGCCTGCTGACCAGATAATGCCCCATGCTGTCAGCCCATCACTGGGGCTAGCTGCTCAGTTCCCATCATGGCCCAGGTTGGGGACTTCCCAATGACAACATATCTGCTAAGCGAAAAGAACACTGCTTTCTAAGGCCATCCGTATCCCCTCTGGCAGACCTTCAAGTCACTGACTCTGTGCCCTTGGCCAAGTTCTAGCCTCTATCCTGGTCTCTTTCTCTACAAACCTGATTGTAAAGCTGTTGATCTCCCTGGGGGACAAGGGAGGCTTTCAGTTCCACATTCAAGGATCCTATGGTTGGACCAAAATTCCAGTTACTCAGCATACACACTATGTTCTCCACTTTAAAATATATATGATGGATTATGTTCCCAAAGACTTCTGGGAATTGAATGTTGAGTCTCAGAATGAATTTTCCCATCGTAGACTGCCGTTAAGTGGTGGTCCACCTCCTCGGCTAGCCTACACAACCCTTAATGTCCCAGCCAGGCAGACCACGAGAACACTGTTTTCTTGTAATAATGGCATTAAGAACCCTCTATAGAAAAATGTATCTTGTGTTGCTTTGCCTGAGCAATGAATGACAGCTCCTGGCTGCAACGGACAGATGCTTCTGAGAAGGTCTGCAGAAGACACTGGAAACTGGAAGAGGGCAAATTGATCGCCAACAGCTCTCCTGGAAAGTAAGCCTGAGACTCAGCGGGCAGGAGGGCTGGTTGAAGAATACGTGTGCACACAAACATGCATGAAGTCAAGCAAGAGTCCAGGGCACACCGAGCACAGTGAAGGGCAGAGGGCCCGAGAGGAATCTGGTTGGGAGACCGATGGAGCTGCTTCCCAGGGCAGCCTGGAAGAGGAACCTTGGGATGGAGAGGAAGCAGGGAAAGGTTTCTGTGACGAGGCCCTCTTCTGGTACGGGCTGACTAGCACTCGTCTGAAGAATACTAACCATGACTATTGCTCACGCCTGCTCTCCTGTTTCAAGGCGAAGCCTAAGACAGCTGCCTTCCTTCTTCCTTTAACTCGTTCCCAGAGTCCCGAGGCACTGACTGCTGCCCATCCTTCCCTCTGAACCTCAGTGTCAAACGTCTGGATATGGGTCTGCACCCCCGGAACAGTGACTATGATAAGGAATCTGAGTTGGTTCCTGCTTTTTGAAGGGTGTAACTACTCTACAACAGCCAATCATTATGGTTAGTCTGCATGCTGGTGGACCCTGGAGACCACCTGTCGTCAGCTTCCTTGTTTGGTTTGGTTTTTATTAAAGTAAGGAAACAGATGATCAGAGAGGTGAGGTGATTTGTCCAAGGTCACACAGTAAGTACTAGATAAGTCAGTATTCAAGTCTGGGACTTCTGGATCCTACTTTGGTTTGCTTGGAGGCAGAGCGCTTATGGACGGTGGGGGAGGGGCGGTCGCCCTGGACCGAGGAGCAGTTCTGATCAGGCTTTTGTTCCTCCAGGGATGCCTGCGTGAGCATGGGGATAGGGTTTAGCCCTCTGCCCTGATGCAAACCTGGCCAGATTGCATCATAGATCAAGCGAGGGTGTGGGCCTGTTGGTATCTGCAAAGCTGTGGAGCAAGAACATGAGCTCTCTGGCCCCAGGGCTCTAACACTGGTTTGCTTGTGACCCTGGCAGAAAGGTCACTTCCCCTTTTTGATCTTGTTTCCTCATCTCCATTCTAGAATAGAGGGAGGGTCGCACTGAACAGCTGAATTCAGTTCTACACCATCTACTGAGCATCATGGGCCAGTCAACAGCAGAACAGAAGATGGCCTCCACTTGCTCCCATGGAGCTTGCAGGCTTGCAAGTAAGGTAGAACTAGCTGCCTGGTAGGTACACCATGCTAAGGATGAACACACTCCTCTGGCAAGCACAGCGTGGGTGGAGGCAGCAACCTCTGAGGCATGCCTCAGAAAGTGTCTTACAAGAGGTGCTGAGCCATGATCGTCTCCCTGGGGACTGCAGCCATCGGGGACATTGAAGGTGGACAACAGTGTCAAGGAACAGCCTGCCCATGGAAAGGCACAAGGATTTCTGGGAGGAAGGGACATTCCCACCCACGTAGCCAGGAGAGTCAAGCTGTGACCCAGGCTTTATGCTCAAGACCGCGGGGATAGCCCTTCAACAAGACTGTGACTGCCCAGCTCTGCCAGTCCTTCGCAACTAGAATGGTCTGTGGTTGCAAGGAAACGGTAGAACCAAATAATTGTGGCGGGTCCTCTGAGCAGGGTTGCCCTGCGCAGACATTAGCTGTGTGATCTCAGGCAAGTTTAACTTTCCTAAGACCCAGTGTCTCCATCTATAAACTGAGTAGAGTGGGAGTCAGTTCTCAAGAGGCTAGCATAGCACCTCAGACTCTAGGGAGGGTCAAAAGAGACAACGAAGGTCAGGAGGTGGATGCCATGCCCGGCTCACAGTGGGTGCTCGGCAGATCACCTAGCACTACCATGCATTCTGCACTTGACCAAAGACTTAGGAATGGCTGGGGGCACGGCAGGTGACCCTCTTCAGAGACTAGATTGGAAGAAAAAGAAAAGGGAAGAGAAGGTGTAGAGGCGGGTTGTTCTCTGCTCCTTAAGAGCGGAAGAAGGAAAGAAAGATGGCTGCCTCTGAGAGAGAGCAAGGCAGGGAAGAAGGCAGTCTTCCCTCAGCCAGCCCAGCAGTGGGAGGGAGAGCAGGAGATCTGGAGGCAGCCTGGAAAACAGTGGAGCTGGAAAAAAGAATGCTCTTCTAGGGAGGGAGCGCTTGCGCGGGGAGGCTGAAATTTGATCCCTTCGATTCCCAGCTACTTAGGGCTGACATCTTAAACCAGCAGATTAGCAAAAGCCAGGCAGGGATTCTGGCAGAGGCAGGCCCTCTCCTGCCCTCCGCTGGGCCTGGTTTAAAGTCTCCTATCTTCTGCACTGATGCTCGCACTAGCAGGCTGGAGCCTGAGCTACCCTTCCCTGCCTCTGGCACCGTTCCCTTACTGCCAGGTCCCCGCCAAGGTGACCGGTGATCCTGTTGAAAGCCAGACTTTGAAAGGGAAGGTGCATAACCCAGCACTCCAGGGCATCCTGAGGGCTTGTCTTGGGAGCTTAGTTCTGCCTTTCATATCAGACTTTTGTCAAGTCCTGTGGAAACAGATTTGTTTTTCAGCCTGGGCCACCATTTAGGGAAAGGAATGCTCCACTGGGTGGCAAACAACCGTGTCTCGTTTAATCGGTCCCCAAAGCACTCTTCCTCAGCAGAATGGGCCAAGAATGACCTCTCTTACTTCCGTCCCTCAAAACACCTTTGCCTCCACAAAGGACAATGGACTAGGCCTCTTACCAGCTGCCTGACCATAGATTAAGTCATTTAAACTACTCAGAACCTCTCATTGTTCCCTTCACAAAATGAGTCTGTTCATGGGAGACAAAGCTGGGGACCTACTGCCATCTCCAAAGTGCATGCTCACTGTGGGGTTCTCACTGTGGGTATGCATCCACATGGCAAAACTGCCTGTGCCTCTACTTTGGAGAACCTTCTCGGTGCCTCAGAATTGATTACGATTAGTACGGGCTTTGATGGCAAAAGTTAGAGGGGAAATTAATAATAACAACAACAACAATAATAATAAATATACAAATAAGTTTCTCCGTTCCCTAAAGATCCACGTGGCTATCTATAGCTCCTAAAGAGCCAAAAGACTCAGGCATGACAGCTTATATGAGAGATGAACTTCAAAGGACTCAGAGCCCAAGACACAGAAATGGGGTCCAAGAATACATAGGAGACTGAAAGGGGCACTTTGTATTCAAATCTCACAAATGGCCTTTCAACAATAAAGCGGTTGTGCTCCCATCCTCCCAGCTCCGGGGCCAAAGACACCACCCAAGACAATTGGTCCATCAGGAAAGAGGTCATTGTGTGCTTCTTAGCATGATTTATGTGGCAGGGAGGAGCTGGCCATGTTTCCCGTGATTATGACTCTCAGAGGCAGTGTTGAGAGCTTGTTCATTCTCTTGAACAGCTGGGATGGACTGAAGAGCGGTGGCCACCAGGTCATATTTCATCTTCTCGGGCCCGTGACACCAAATTAATTGTCGCATTGATCCATGAGGCAAGACCGTCATGGTGCTGTGGCTCCCTAGAGTCACGGAGCAAGCTAGCCCAGGGCCTGCCAGGAGTGCCTGTTCTCTTCCCCATCGGACAGAGGGCCTGGGAGCTTGATGGGAGAATCTATCCTACTCAGGAGCTTATCAGGGAGCACGGCCCTTCTCCCAGGGATGGGTGTCATGTTCAGATCCTCCGTTTTTCTGAGTCAAGAGCTCTTGTCTTCTGTACCTATCTGCTGGATAGAGAGGAGGTCCCCAGACTCAGGAGAGACAAGATTGCTGATTTCCCAGGCTGGCGATTCTCCTGTGCCTCCTGGTCCCCTGAAGGTCATTATGTAAGAGAACCAAATGAAACCAACATGTAGTTTGCTGTCTGCACAGACCCTGCGGGCCGATCACTGGCTGGCAGCATGGTGTTACCTATCCCCTGTACCAGGCCAAGCAGCATCTTTCCATCCTGGGCTGGGCATTATTAGCCTGACACCCGCAGATTCACCCCATTTCCCACTAGACTGATGATTCAACATGGTCTCGTTTTTCCTATGTTAGAAGGAAGAGAAACAGAAAACAAGGGACCCACTCTCTTCTAGGCCACTGGGCAGGTGGCCCTGGCAGTTTAGAAAACTCACGAGAGCACAAGATCTTCCCTAAGGTCCTTCATGACTAAGGTCGGGGTCTTCTCTGGCCTTGGCCATCACTACAGCTTTCTGTCTCTGAGCTCCCCGTACCTAGACCTACAAATACTCTCTAGCATGTAGCCGCTGTCCCTCTAATCCACAGCCCTGGGATTCTGTCCTGCTGCATCTCTGCAGTCAGGGAAGGCTGTGCAAGCTGCCCAGCCCAGAGTCCCGCTAGGTGGACAGGGAGTGGGCCCAGCCAGCTCTGAACAGGCTACCTTTTGCCTTGTCTCTGTGAAGGTTGCTGAGCTCTATCTGGCCCTGGACTCTGGACCTTGGCCCTTAGAAGTTCCACAGAAAAGCAGTTCTCTGAGTGTAAGGCCCTGGCTTCCTTCTAGACCCCTTGGCATGAGAAGTAGTACTAATATATGGAGCCCGGGGGCAGGGCAACCATGAACCTTCCCACCTTGGGAAAAAAACTAAGCTTTACTGTTACAGTGGCCACAGACATTCCCAGAAGCTCAGCACTGGCCCTAGTTCTAGACTGACCAGAAGAGTATTTCTGAGGGAGGCTTCAAACCTCACATCATTGAGACATCAAGACCCAGTAGAGTATGAGGGCAGGTGGGGGTGAGCAAATCATCCTTCCTTCTCCCAGAGCCTAGCCTTCCAATACCTACCATCCCAGCACCCTCTAGAACAAGTCACCATCAGCCCTCACCTGGAGGCCTGAAGAGGAGCCCTAACCAGCCTCACAGCCATTTAGGCTCCTCTTAGCTACAATCCGATCTTGCAGACATGCACTTGAGGGGTCTGTGACACCCTTCCTCAAAAGCCTTCCATGGCTCCCTACTACATGTAGGAATCAACAAAGCAATCGCCACATATGGATGTCCTGAGTAGTGTGGCCTGGCTCCATCTTCTGCCTCACAAAGCTGCAGCCACACTAGCCTCCCTCTAGTCCTCAACACACCATGCTCCCTCCTTCTCATCTCTGCCTGTGCTGTTTCCACTGCCTGGAATGTTCTCTCTAAAGTCTTTGGCTGGCTAGCTCCTTTCCAGCCCACAGGCTCGGCTTACAAGCTACGTCTTTCCCCATCATACCCTACACATCGCAACTAGATACAATACCCTCTCTGAAGACATCTGTGATGGTTCTGTACAGACTCTCCCAGTGTGTGAGCATGGATTGGTGCTGATTTATTTAATGTTCTCTCCCTATCAGGACTGGGAGGGCTGTGATCTTGATGGGAGCACTGTATCCCCTAGTACAGACACTAGCACAAAGGAGATGTCCCCCAGTATCCACTGAATGAAGAAGTAAATGTGTCCAGATGAAACAGGAGTGGGAAGGTAAGGTATCTTCTGGAAGGAATGGGTCATAGGCATTGTCCTCCATTAGAGTGACCTCTCCCTCTTTCCTGCTGTGCCCAGGCAGGTGCCCAGGTGCCATTCAGCCTCCTTCTGCTTGAAGGGAGCTTGCTTCAGAATCTTCTCCGTCCAGGACTTCCAGGTACCACTCTGTACAAGCCCACAGGGTCTCTCACACCACTGTTCCTCCTGTTGCCAGTCCATACACACCCTTGGGACCACTCCCTCCAGATGACCCTAGGCCCAACATCTTGGTCTTCCGTTTTGGGTCCAGTTGAGATGAGGTTACTGTGTGGTAGGGGAAGCCCCAAAAGGGTTAAGTTGCCAGAAGCATAGTCCCGCCCTTGGGCTTGCTCAGCCAATCAGAGTCTGTCCTGATGAGGTAAAGCTTCTATCCTGGGTGGCATTGATGGAGGTGACTGGCCCCATCTCCTGCTGGAGAGAGCCGTAAGGGTGAAGTTTCTGTGGAACCAGACAGAACTGGAATTAGCTCGCTGTCCACTCTGATCAGGACTGCCTGACTCCAAAAACCTGCCTGTGCTTCTTTCTAAGGCACTCAGACAGTCCCTGGCATCTCTGAGACCCATCTCTAGCTGCCCCAGAGGAGATGGCAAGGTGGCACATGCCTCAGTGTCACATCTGGAAGTCATACAGCCAGAGAAAGCCCAGGAGGCCTCAGTTTCCCTGCCAGGGCTCTAGAATCTGGCAGGTAGCTACCAGGGAGTGTCAAAAAAACAAAAACAAAAACAAAAAACAATTGTCACATGTGCTGGGGGACCAGCGTCAACCTCAGTAAACAGGAATAACAATAAATTGTCCTACACAGTCACACTGAAAGACAATGATGAGCATCACAGTAGGTAGTTCACTAGGGACCTCCTGCATGCTGCAACACCCTACACAGCCTCACAGTAACCCTGGTTACCCCATCTCCTTTGCTGATAAGAAATCTCACGGAGGCTAAGTGGTTCTCCCAAGCTCAATGCAATCATTTTGAATTATCTGTTACCATATCTGTCTCCATCACCAGCCTGTGATTGCTAAGGAGAGAATGTGATAAATTCCCCCATAGAGCCCAGGATCCACCTGAGAACAAGGTTGGTCCATGTACCCTTCTCACCCTTAGGTCCCTGAAGACTGAAACAAGCCTACTCTGTTCAGAAGGTTCTGGAGCCCATCCCAGAAGCACCTGCATGAGTGACCAGTGGGAGGTTCACTGTTGACCATGAATGGACAGTCAGGACCCCTGTGGACAACTCTCAGATCTACAGGCATGGCCTCCAATGCTTGGATCACCACTCCAGTGCCCACATCATCCCTTTCCAATTAGAAGTCCATAAGGACCCAGGTGAGGTGCCATTCATCTCTGTGACCCCAAAGAATCTAAAGCAATGCCAGACGCAGAGGAGACATTCATCATGTGTATTTGATCAAATAATCAAAATTGTATAGATCAGCCAGTCCCCGGCAGCCTCACTGGCCACAGCATGGACCAGCTCCGACAGGATCTAATGAGAAGCCTCACAGTAGTGCTAAAAGTGTAGCAGAGGGAGCCTGGTCCCTGTTATCAAAGGCATAAGAAAGGAGGGTGCCCTCCAGGGACATGTAATGAAGCAAGAGAGGGGCAGAGTTCTAAAGAGAAGCATGGGTGCTGAGCAGGAGAAAGGAGCTGGCATGGGACAGAAGGCAGATCGTTTATTCCCACAGAAGAGAACATCCTTAGGGCTGAGGACGGAACTCAAGTTGATAGGGTACTTCCTTGTCCCACACAAAGCCCTGGGTTCAATGCCAGGAACGGTATAAACTGGGTATAGTGGTACACATGTGTAATCCTAGCACTTGGGAGGTGGAGGCAGGAGGGAGCCAAAGTTCAAGGTCATCCTTGGCTACATATGGAGTTTGAGGCCAGTCTAGGCTACAGGTAACCCTGTCTCAAACGGGTGAAGGTGGAGGCCAGAGAAGATGGTTTCGTAGGCAATGTACTTGCTGCACAAGCAAGAGGATCTGAGTTTGGAAACCAGCGACCGTAGAAAAAGCCAAGTATGGCGGTGTACTCCTGAAATCCCAGTGTCGGGTGGGCTGAAACAGGCAGCTTCTTGGGTCCAAGAGGCCAACCAGCCTAGCACAATCAGTGAACTCCAGTTTCAGTGAGAGATGCTATCTCCAAGACTAAGGTGAAAAGCAAATGAAGAAAGCACCTGACATAGACCTCTGACCTACCTACACACAAGGACACAGACACACACACACACACACACACACACACACACACACACACACACACACACACACACACACTGTGCTAGGACCCCTACATCACCACGCCACAGACCATCTCCTCCTCTTCCCACATACGTTACAGAGAGTTGTACAAAAGCTTAAAGAACTCTCCAGAGTGTATTTTCCTAAGAGAGGTGGCTGGCCCCAGTCCCTGGCCTCTGAGGATCACAAAGCAGAAGGAACCAAGCAGGTGACTTCCGACTGCCGGGAGTGGTTGCCATAGGTTGCGCTGCGGTAGCACCACACACCTGCGTGCTGTTCTCTACACTCACCTTCTCCACTTCCCCTGGGGCCTCACAATAAGCATCACCAGCCCTTCTCAGGACAAACTGTGTCCATCACTGTGTGTGAAGGGAGAAGAGCTTTCCATGGTAAAGGGTGAGCCACACGATGGGGAGGAGCAGGGGCTGGGGTGGGAAGGGGTGGGGTTGGGGGTCTGATGGCTGCTCTATGAGCCCTTCTTTCCCTGGAGAGGCCTTGGAATGGGGCCGGTTGCCGAGTCACAGTGTCCTCAGTTCCACAGGAGGCAGAGTGCTCACAAAGAGAACAGAAGGGGAAAGGCATGGCACCTCAGCATTGGTCCAGCAGAACCTTCATGCCTAGAAGCAAGAGCCAGCTACCCAGACCTGCTTGGCTTTCTTGCTCCTCCCCTGGAGGACGACATCCTTCACTGGGGGAAGGCCATCCTTTGGGAAGGATGTCGGCAGTCACCCTGAGGCTGAGTACAGGTGGATGAGAGGTGGGCCCAGTCATTAGAGTTGCTGAAGCATGCCTGGACTGCTAGAGGGCTGCAGAGGATCCAATTTACCAGAAACTTCTTTCAAGAAGCACTCTGTAAGTGACTCATGGAATTCATTGTGAAAATTCCTTGAGTAGGTATGGTGGAGGTGTGGCTGGGTAGGGTTGAGCGGCAAAACACACACCCCCCTCCCCAGGGAGGGGACTGCCTCACAAAAGCCAAGTGGTGCAGTAATGGCCTCTCCAGGAGAGTGGAGATGTCCAAGTCTTAGCAGGGCCCAGGTCTCAGCCGCACAACACGCCTCCAAAGCTGTTCTAGCTACCGGGCCCTCCACCCCGTCTTTTGCACCCCCTCCAGCTGCCCGTCTAACAACACACTTACAGAGCTGGTGTATTAAGGTGTCCAGACTGTTGCCTGCCCAGGGTGCCCACATATTAGGGGTGAGTCATGGGCTGGAACCCTTTCAGGGTCAGCCAACCCAGCCTATTGCTGTGCAGGGCCGAGAGCCTCTCTGAAACAGCCTGCCTTTAGCTAGTCCCACATTCCCAGGTGAGCCTGCATTGGAAGAGTCTCCAGGGTATTGAGAGGCTGTGGCTCTCCAGAGCCAGCAAATTCTGGAGTCAAAGCACAGAGCACTCTTCCCCCAGGCGAGAGGAAGAAAGCCTCTGGAAAAGGAAACAGTAGCGTGAGTGCTGGCCCTGGGTGACCTCGGGGCTGTACTACAGAAGGGAAAGTAGCCTGTGCTCTGACTGCAGCCAGCACAGATCCATGGGGGTAAGGCAGCCTATTTATAGTCGTGGTGACAGAGGACTGTGGTGATGGGGGCCAGCCAGTGTCACCTGAAATGGGGTTGGGGGAACAGTGTACGCCCCTTAGTGATTGTTGAGTGAACATCTCCTGCGTACTTGGTGCTACACCATGAACGGCATGTGCCCTCCCATTTAATGCCCACAGCAATCCTTAAGGGAGGAACCAGTGACCCCTTTGATGGAGCCATCAAAGCACGGGCAACAAGGGGACTCACCCACAGTTACCCTGGCCGTCAGCAGCAGTGTTTGACTCAGGCTCTCCCCTGAAAACACCTTTCAAAGTCTAGGATGGTGTGGTTCTCCGATCCTCGCCTCCCTTGCCAGTTTGCTGGAGAGCAGCTGTCCACCCCTGAAGGGAGAGGCTGCCGGCACCTCTTCCATGTGCTCCCTGCCCTCTCGGAAAGCCAAGGCACATGGCTTGGTAGCCCGGACACATCAGATAGCAGCAACAGGGCCCACAGGTTGGCAAGCTCCAGGCCCCTCTCATTTCCTCTTCCCTGAGAGCTGACAGAGCTAACACCTCATCCACCAGCTTGTGCAGCCACCACCCCAAATTCCAAACGGCCAGCACTTCTAGTAAGAAAAGACACCCGAATGACTTCACAGTGGGCAAGCAGCTGTGCCTTGTGGCAGACATCTGAGTATCAAAGGAGAAGGCTGTTATCCGGCTCCCATAGCATCTACTCCCCAGCACAGAGCTGCACTGGACCAGCTCAGCCTTCACTGGCCATCTTTACGCTCCCTGACATTCCAGCTGGCCAGCCCCAGGCCTCAGCAATCCAAAGTCAGTTCCACCTGGCTCTGGCAAGCATCAAACTATGGTGTTCTACCACAAACATCCCCTCAATTATGCCTGTCTTGGGCTAGTGTTGACAGCAGTGTGCTGCCCCCGGACACCGCCTATCCAATAGCAGAAGGGCAGTTAAACCTTGCCATCGGCAAACCGAAGAGCGGAGCCGAAAATGGGATGGCCCATGCTCAGTTTGGCTGCTACTCCTTCCGCAAGCAATGTCAAACCCATTCCGCAGACCCAGAGAAAACTCAGAGGAGAGATATTCAAGCACAGACCTTTTTGCCAAGCCCACCGCGCTGGTCCGGGGGCTAAACTCTGGATGACTCCCAGCTCAGATCCAAGGCTTAAAGGCTAGGCTAGCCAAGGGGGGAAGGTGGCGGTCAGGGCTGCAGCCATTGGCGGAGTCCTTACCTTCCTCTCTGGGGGCGATGCGGCCAGCTGTTGCTGCTTGGCGATGTTCTCCGACAGGCACCGGCACACTCTCTTCTTCTGCTCCTGTGAGTGAGCCTCCAAAGTGAATAAGCACTCTGCCTTCTGACGTCAGGGAGAAGAGAGACAGGAATGGGTGGTCAGGGCTGCTCCCTGACTCAAGGGGGCTCCAGGGCCCAAGCCCATCCCCGAGGCTCCAGAGGGTGAGGCTACATCAGGGAAGGGAGCATCGGCTAAGAACAACAAATGCACACCGATCCCTGGTGACGCTGAGGTGGTCAGCGGACCAGGGAAGTAGAGCCATGGGGGAGCTACGAGGCCACGGTTTGAGTCGGGGAGGGAGGCAGTGGCTCCCTGGACAGTGGAAGCCTGTGGAGAGCTACAGGCCAGAGGGTGAGGTCACCCTTGGAGCAGGCAGCACAAGGCAGCAGCTGGGGATCACGTGGGGAAGCCAAAGGACCAAGCCCTTGAGCTGGTGCTTCCGTGAATACAACCCCCCTCCCCTCTGACCACAGAACCCCCTTCTCTCATGGCACCCTCTTCAAAGCACAGGCCAAGGTTAGCTGGGTTGGATGAGCACAGCAACAGAACTGGAGGAGTCCCTTTGGAAAGTGTAGGGTGGGCAGTCCCAGGGCCCTCTAACACGACCCAGCACCTGAGCTGGGTTTCCCATCCGCTGCTGTGCAATATTAGTCTGGCTGGTCATTTGAACCTTGCTGAATGACAAACACCTAGAAGATCATCTTCATCTGGGCCTAGCACAGTGCCAGGTAAGCACTGGCCTTGGTAAGCGCTGGCTGCCTGGAAGAACTTCCATGATAACAACAGGGCAGCTTTGATATAGCACCAGACAGTCGGCCCCTGAAGCAGTCAGGACATGCAGCGGGTAGAGACCTGTTGTCCCCACCCCCACGCTGGTCCCCCACTAGACACTGGGATCAGAAGATGACAAGTTCTTCTTCACCCCGCTGGTGATAATACTCAACCAAGGAGCTAAGAGCATGAGCTGGGAGAGAAAGGCCATGTATCGACCCAGTCTCTCCATTTTGCAGACCTCGTTTGCATGCCGGCTTTGCCACTTCCTAGCTGCCAACCTCTGGAAAGTCAGACGTGTTCTATAAAATAGTGGCATTGCCCCCACTCCAGACCTATAAAGCAATAAGGACTTCCATAGGCCTTAGCACACAGCGTACTGTTATTTCTCAGCATCCGACCTTCAGGGCGGGTACACCTCCCATCCTAAGTCCCTGGAGTATTTACCATCCTCTCATGCTGCAAAATACTGAGAAGCTTTCTTCCTAAAAGCATGAGGGAGAGGGAGCTGAGGGGATGAGCTGTGGTGAGCCTCTGCTTCCTCTTAAAGTCAGGCCCATCCGCTTCCCAGACCACTCCTACCGGCTGCAGGGCAAACAAGCCTCAGCTTCCCCAAGGGGATGCCCAAGGAGCCAAGGAGCAGCTGGCCCTTGGCTTCCTGTCTTACGGTGTTCTGCTGAGTGGGAGGGACCAAGAAGGTCCTTTCCAGCTTGGAAAGACCACCGCTCTATAAACATGGCCCAGCCTGAGCCTCGCCGCCCTGCCCTTACCTTACCATGTGGCTTCTGACTATCTTCTACCTAATTTATCGACTTTATAATATAGTCTGTCATCTGCGATCTCATTTTGATCTGGGCAATTTCAAGAAGCAGAGAAGGTGTGGATTCTTTATTCTTATTTTATTTTTCTGGTGCTGGGGAGCAAACCTAAGTTCATGCACATGCTAGGTAAGCACTCTACTTCCAGCCCTTGATTTTTTGAAATAGAATCTCATGATCCTTTAGCTCAGGCCAGCCTGGAACTCACCATGCAGCCCAGGCTGCCCAGGAACACATGGACCTTTTGCTACCTCTGGATTATAGACACGTAACTACTATGCCTAGCTGGGGTGTGGATTGTGATTCCCCTTTATGGAAGGGGAAAACCAAGGTTTAGAATGGCCAAAGGGTTCTCTGAGTCTTGAAGCCAATGAATCAGAGGAAACACTGAGCCAGGGAAAGCCACCTGCTGCGATTTCATCTCCAAGTTCTGGAAGATGTCACCTCCCGGTGAGGCTTCTACACCTCTTGCTGGCAGGACTGCTCTGTCTCACAGCCTGGAGGCGACAGGAGTGTCATGTCATCAGAAGGAATTGTATGTAGGTCAGGGGGCTCTCTAGCTGTGGTTTTTTGTACAACTGCTTACTCCTCTGGCATGGCAAGTCTGTCCCTACAAAGGCACAGAAAAGCCTCTTGGGAGCAGCCAGCATCCCTAATCTTGAATTGACTTCCACAGCACCAAGCTCTTTATCAGCCATGTCTCGATATTTCTTCCAACAGCCTTCCGAGAGAGCAGCTGTGGTCACTCGGTTCTGCTGACACCCTCAAGAAACACTTCTTAGGAAGGCCCTGGGGTTCTTACCTGGGTCAGCCACCAGGCCGTTTGTAAAGATTCCATGATTCAGTAAGTCCCTGCAGCCAGCAACTGAGCCCAGAGCCTCCCCCAGAATCACCTTCCAAGAGTGGTATCCCAGGTCAGGGATCATGACCTTACTGTCTATCAGTCTCAGCAGCAAAGGACAAGACTGCATCTGACAGCTTGAAACTAAACCCTGCTACAATGCTCGAGGGCTTAGAAGACTTCCTCAGCATCCAGGATCCAACCCCAGGTGGGGCTGCCTTAGATGGACAAACATTTTCGGAAGAAGCCTGAGTGTCAAAGACCGGCTTAGCCAACAGACGAGAGCCAACTCCCTGAAGAGAGGCTAAATCCCTACCTGCCCAAATCTGTCCAAACGGTGAGTCCTCATTGCCTGCCCAGCTGGCCCCACATGTGAACCATCTGTCATAATTCCGTGTGTGCTCCAAATGACCCAATTAGTCGGTTTCAATTCTGACTTGCTCAACGGCGTCAATAGCAGACTCCAGGGTCAAGGCTGCAAGCCGTCCCCAGGTACCCTCATGCTGTCCCCTCGGAGGTACTGCCTTCTGACTGTGGGGTGCTTGACCAAACACGGGCTTCTCGGTTGCATAAACCTGACCCCGCAGCACTAGGTGGGGGACCCCTGCACTTGACTGTGACCTCAGACCCAACCCGACTTCCAGCTCTTCTTGGTCTCTTTCAAACCCCCATCTTTCCTAACCTCCTTGCTTTAAACTGATTTTATCTTTGTAAAAACCCAAACAGCTCCAGCAGTAACCGAAGCCTGTTCATTTGCCGTGACAAGCGTGTTCCATCTCATTCCCTCCTGATGGACTGAGGAGGCAGGGAGGCAAGAAAGACACTGCCGCCACCTTTTTTATTTTATTTTATTTTTTTTTTGTGTGTGTGTGTGTGAATAAGAATACTAAGACTCTGGGAGGCCGAATCTTAAGAAGATCCTGACTGACTCCAGAACCTGGAATCTTGCCCGGCCTGTAGAACCATGTAGGTGTGTTATCTGGCAAATGAGATAGTCCACCTAGCTGTCCTTGTAAAAGATCATGAGTCAAATGGAGGGTAAACGAACAGGAAAAGCCCTTCCTCCTGCTCTGATCTAATGACTACGCAGCTACCCCTCGCTGAGCATGCTGAGTACTGGGCTCTGGGCTAAGTGTTTTAGATGCACTGTCTCATCGAATCTCACTTAACATTACAGCCCTGCAGGAAAGACCACACTGTCTCTGTCAGGAGTATGTAACCTGCCCCAGATCACTCAGGAAACGAACAGCAGAGCCAAGTTGCAAATCTAGGACCTCCTCCTTCCCAAAGCTAGCTCCTTCATGGAATGGAGGCAGCCCCACATTGCAAAGAAGACAGAAAATGGTCCCCAAACAATGTGCCCCATGCTCTGAAGCCAGCTGTGGGCTGCTGTCCCAGATTTGCAAGGACTGAGGGACGCCTGTCCTTGGGATTAAGACTGCTTAGAGCAGGCCAGGAGCGGTGGCACACCCCTTTAATCCCAGCACTCGGGAGACAGAGGCAAGTGGATCTCTAAGTTTGAGGCCACCCTGGTCTACATAGTGAGTTCTAGGACAGCCGGGGCTGCACATACAAAGCCTGTCACAAAAAAAGGGGGTGGGGGAAGGAAAGGAAAAAGACAAGAAAAAGAAAGAAAAGAAAAAAAACAAACCAAAAGACTGCTTAGAGTAACCCTACCCAGGAACAAGCTGTTGTCCCCCGGGATGGTTACGACTTTCTGAATGCAGAGGGAGAAAATTCCTCTCAAAACCTCACGTCCTCCCCAGGTTTCTTCTTGGGGTTACCACTTGCATATCAGGCAATAGAGAATAAACTTTTCAGTAGAAATTCTAAGATTTGTCTACGGATCTCCATGAGGCCCAACACCACCTATGTCAAGAATGCTCAGGGCTTTGAGCCCAAGCAGTGTGGCTCTCCCTGCACCACGGGCTTGCCTCTCATTAGTAGCAGCCCATTAAGGTGAGAGGCTCCCAGCTCCCAGCTGCCTGAGAGATGCTCTCTCTCCTGGTCCCTCGGGGTCAGATCACCTGGTACATTCCGGAAATTGGAGGCCTCAGGTCGATAGCCCTTCAGCAATCCTTAGAGAACTAGAAAGGAGGTCTTAGAAGCAATGGGCAGAAGCGCTTTTCTCCAGGAAAACAAAACACCAGTCTGGCAGGAAGCTCTCTTGCTGTTAGAGAACCTGGAGCCTCATTTCAGGAGCTGGTGAAGCATACGGGAAGCCAGAGGGGCCAGAGGGCACAGCCCCGGCACCATTTCTCCTGTCTGTACTTGGCTCACTCGGCTCTGTGGAACAGAACACCCTCCAGTGCTGAAGGGATTTTCCCAGCCACCCCTGGACCTGGGCTGGGTTGTGGCTGACACAGAGGTGCCTGCAGGTCTACTTTCAGGCCTCTGAGTCCCCAGTTCTACTTTGACACCTTCTGCTGTCTCTTGGCAGCTCTGGGCAAGTCTCGAGTGAAGTTCTCAGTAACCTTTCTTGTCCCTGGGGTCTGTTCAAAGAGGTGTACCTCTTAGCCAGGAAGGCTTTACAATCCCAAATGGCACAAACTCCTTCTCAGAAAGGTCTATGCCTCTCGGCCGGCCCTTTAGGTCGTTCCCCATCCATATAGACAGGTTCTCAGGACAGTTGGCAAGACACAAGGCAGCAGAGGGCAGGGGTGGGCCTGGCTTGGACAGATGCCACATGTCAGCAGAACAGGGCTAGGGACAGAAAATTACACAGGAAACTGAAGAGAATTTGACCCTCAGATTTTTCATCACCAAGGACCTCTCTGGTTAAAGCCCTGCTTTATCTACCAAACCACATGGAGCAAAAAGCTGTTTGCTTGGTTTTGCTCCCCAAAGGTAGAGCTGTCTGAGCCTACCCGAGCTTCTAATCAGAGATCATCAAGAGCGTTAGTCCCTCTCGTGGGGATCACTCGGAGCCAAACACAGATGCGTGGTGCTTGCTTTGGCCTGCGCTGTCTGGCCCAGGTGAAGGTACAATTACCTGAGGCCTTTGAAACGCTGACAAGCCTTTGTAGGCGGGAGATGGGTGGTACTTCCTGGAAAACAGGGTGAAAGAGGCAGGCGTGGGAGCTGAACCTTCTCCAGAAAAAGGGCGAGTAAATAAATAAACAGAGTAGCGTGCAGCTGTCGGGCCACGCCCTCAGGATGCCCACAGGTGCAGGGGTACCAGAGGTCCCAAGCAGGGTATCTCGGGGGCCATAGCTGCCCTTTGACACAGAGGTAAGCAGGGCTGGCTGTGTGCTACAGAGCAAGAAACTGCCCCTGGCTGTCTTGGGTCATCGTCGTCGCAAGATTATATGGAGGCCAGCCTCAAGCCTAGTCCCACCTCTTTGCTCAAGTACCAGATCACACTCGACTCTCCTCCAAATCGGAGAGAGGGACTCACCTCTGCCAGGTACAGCACACAGAATTTCAAGTCTTCTGAAGAACCTTTGAAGGGAACAGAAAGGAAGACTCACATTAGAATTGGCTACACAGTCAAAGTCTCGCTGAGCGCAGCTGTCTCGCCCAGGAGGCTGTGTGTGCTGACTCCCCGAATAAGAGGAAGGAGATGGCAGGTGTGGGGAGCAGAGCGGTCTCTAGAGCAAAGCTCACTAACTCACGCATCCAAGCAATGTACAGTTGAAAGGCTCTTGCCTACAGGTCAGCCTGACCCAGGGAATGCTGGAACCCCATTCCCAGAAGGAGACCCTCTGACCTCTATGGCCAAGTGCAGGGAACTATCTGTATCCCAGAAGGACTCCTTCTTCCCAGAATTCTGCCACAGAGGCAGCAAATTCTGGGGTTTCTCTTAAACCACTGGTTCTCAACCTTCCTAATGCTGAAACCCCTTAATACAGTTCCTTGAGTTGTGGTGACCCAATCATAAACTTTTGTTGCTACTTTATAACTGTAATCTTGCTACTGTTAGGAATCGTAATGTAAATATCTGATATGCAGGATATCTGATATGTGATCCATGCAAAAGGGCTATTCATCCCCCAGGTGGTCAAGACCCACAGGTTGAGAACACTGCCTTAAACACTCTACCACCTTTACTATTTTGAACTTCAACAGGGAGCCATCTTGAGTAGGTCTTGTTGCTCACAAAGGGAAGCAGGGGTCAAGAAGGGACAGTCTCCAAGAATCCCATCTCTATGCATCCTGGGAGACAGCTTTTCAACAGGGCACTCTCTCAGGATGCCTCTGCCAGTCTAGGATGGCAAACTCAGCCAGTTACAAAACTGGAAAGGACAGGGAGGGACAGTGGGCTGTCCCCTCCCTTCTTGGAAAGAGTCTCACTTCTGAAGAACTCCAGATGGAAAGGAAGGGAACTCTGGGAGGTGGGGACAGCTGGGAGGTGGGGACAGCTGGGAGGTGGGGACAGTGTGGCATGGAGATAGAGTTGTGCCGGTGAGCAGAGAAAAACAGGAGCACCCCTCAGGACACCTGCCTGCTCACTTCAGCCTCTCCTGGGACTCGGCCACACTCTCCACGAAGCACTCATCTGGACACAGGCCTGGGAGGGTGGGGGAACCCCCTGCACTTCCAGCTGTTGGCCTTACCAAGCGGGGTGTCATTTTTGAGGAAACCAACTATCCAACACAAGTAACAGCAAGCACTTGAAATGCCAGGGACCCTGGAGTACCACCGTGATTTGGGCCAACTGCTGCCCCAAATGCTTCCACCAGTCAGTTCAAGGGCTCAGAGTAGCTCTGTGGGAGAGTACTTGCTTCTGTATGCACTCCTGATAACCAGGAGGCAGGGCTTCTAGCATCCCTGGCTCATGTGAGAACAGAGGACCCAGAAAATGAAGTCACTCAGACAGGCAGTAAAGGGGAACTGTAGCCGCATTCTACGGCTCACACTCAGCCACTACACAGCAAGCCTCTCAAATGCCAGGCTCCAGTAGGACTCCCTTCAATGCATACTTAAGGCAAAGAAACCATCAAACTAAACAGGGTCTGTCACAAAGAGAAGCCTACAAGGTCAAACCAGACTGCACATCAAACCAAACTCTAAAAACGCAGGGAGTAGAGATCTAACCAGGGGAAACCAGACTTCCTCAAGCAAGAGAGTGGACATGCCCCAAAGGGCAGGAGCCATCAGGCAGAGCCAGGAAAAAAAATGTCCCATAAGTAAATGGAGGTTCACTCTGGACTTGGACTAAATCTTTCTACTTTTCCCCACCTGGAAACAGGTTGAAGAGGGAGCCAGCCCTGCCTCAGAAATCTATAGTGTTTAAGAAACTGGATCCCATTCCCTAACCCCTAGAGAACATAAGGGAATGGGAGGGTTGAGCTGGAACAGGGATGGAGTGGGAAAGTAATGAGAGAGATACCATGATAGAGAGGGATATCATGGGGTTAGAGAGAAACCTGGTGCTAGGGAAGTTCCCAGGAATCCCCAAGGATGACCCCAGCCTGGGCTACTAGCAATAGTGGAGAGGGTGCCTGAACTGAACTGGCTTGCCCCAGAGATCAGATCAGTGACTACCCTAACTGTCATCACAGAACTTTTCTCCAATGACTGATGGAAGCAGACGCAGAGATCCACAGCCAATCACCAGGCAGAGCTCCAGGAGTCCAGTCAAAGAGAGAGAAGAGGGATTCTGTGAGCAAGTGCATCAGGATCATGATGGGGAAGCATACAGGGATGACCAAACCAAACTAGGGGGAACTCATGAAAGTTGGATCAATGGCTGTGGAGCCTACATGGGACTGGACTAGGCCCTCTGCATGGCCAGACAGTTGTGTAGCTTGATCTGCTTGGGGGGCCCCCTGGTGGTAGAATCAGAATCCATCCCTGGTGCATGAGGGGGCTTTGTGGAGCCTACTACCTATGATGGGACACCTCCTGCAGCCTTGAGGCAGGGGGAAGGGCTTGGACTTGCCTCTACTGGATGTGCCTCCCCATGGGAGGCCTTGCCTTCTTGTAGGTGGGAGTGGGGGGTGGGTTGGGAGGGGGAGGCTGGGGGGCGGGAGGAGGGAAGAGGGGGATCTTTGATTGGTGTGTAAAATGAATGAAAAAAAATTAATTAAAAAAAGGGGGGAAAAAAACCTGGATCCCAATGCCCCTGTGGATTCCTTGTGTTGGTGAGACAGAGACAAGAGGAAGGGGTCCTTTTGCTTAGGAAAACATACTGAAACGTTTCCTAGCAGACCCTAGTCTAAAGGAAAGCCACTACCATCGGTGTAAGAAAGTAAGAGAAACCTGGGTTTGGGGAGCAGGCAATTGGAGGAGAGGAGACTCTAGAAGTACAGAGTGGGACTAAGGACAAGAGCCGTGGGGAGGCGGGAGCCGAGGTTGGAGAAGCACACTGTCAGACAGTCCCTGTGTCGGGAGCCACTGATGAACGACAGCTTCTCTGTGCTCCGACACCAGCCCCGCCCCCTCCAACATGGCCGCCGCAAACTCTCCCTGGCATCTGTTCCCCATCACAGCCTTGCGCTGGCTGCGGCAGGACAGCAGGAATGGAAGGGGAGCCGTGCTCAGCCTGACTCAGAGCCTCAGCAAAGAACGGCAAACTGGGGGAGCCAAGGGTGCCAGGGAGGAGTGTCTGCAGCTCTGGAGGACTGCAGAGGGAACCCCTGCCCTGCTCGAAGAGAGGGACGCCCGAGACAGCGTACCTGTGTCTGTGTGTGTGTGGGGGGGGGCGGCGGGGGGTTCTCCTTGAACCACACTTACTGCCTCTGCCATTCTGGAATTCATCAGGGAGTCTTTGGTTCCAGAGTGGGCCTTACTTCCCACCATGTAATGCATAGACCATGCCGCCGGGGGTTCCCTCATCGTGGGCTAGGTGGAGGCCGGAGAGGGCTCCCCGGCCCGTGTCTCCCCATCCATCATTTACCCAGAGAACAACTTTCTGGTGGTTTGAGAGTCACCCCACCTTCTCCACTGGTAGAGGCAGACCCAGAGAACTCTTGTCTGCATTCTCCACATACACAGGCAGGGCCAGGGAGGCCCAGCAAACTTCGTAGACAGTAAGCGGCAGAGCTGAGATCTGAATCCAGGACTCCTAATCCTATATCACAGGTCTGTGACTCCAGCCGGCCTGGAGCTCCAGAGTGGAGAGGCCTCCACAGCTCTCGCTGCGGTGGCCAGAACTGAGGTAGCCATGGAGGACACCTTAGAAAATGTCAAGCAAGCATTCCAGCAGCTGGAGCTGAGGCAGCTGAGTTTCCAAGATGATGGGATCCTGGCTGGCTCCCCAATGTGCCTGGAGAGCCCATGAGTCAGATAGACATTTCCAGGTCATGTCTAAGAACAGGCAAGGCCAGAAAGACACACCGTGGGCGTGATGCTGGCTGCCGGGGAGGCAGAAACACAAAGAGCAGCGAAACCAGCAGGCAGCCGTGGCAGGAAAAGACCACAATGGGCCCTCGGCTGACCGGAGATGTCCCGATTGTTAGCAACCAGCTCTCCGCCTGTTCCCATCGCACCGCCATTCAGGCCTGACGAACCTTGGGAGACGCTGACAGGAGGAGGCAGTCCCCATAGGAGTGACCTCGAATCTGGAGCTCTGGGGGAGGAGACACCCCAGCTGCCAAGCTAAGGCAGCACTCTGGTCTCCTCTTAGCCATTCATTGTTTACAAAAACAAGCATCCGTTGGTCACCTAATGTATGCCATGCTCCCTTCTGAGTCCTAGGAATATGGTTGAGTGGAGCCAGGTCCTAGCAAACAAGTCACAAGAGAGTCCTTGGTCCCAGGAGTGGGGTGGATTCTGCCCTGCCAGGGAACAGCATTTGCCAGCCCCAGCCTGCCAAGCTGGATGCCTTTTTGTTTAACAACTTTTTGACCCCCCTCCAACACTGAACTCCGCATACATACTGACTCGAAAGCGAGATGAAACCTAGGAGTCTCACACCATGGTTAGTTAGAGACGGTTCTGCCACCAGACACTCCAGCTAACAAACCCCAAACGACCTCTGAAAAGCCTCACTTGCTGTAGTAGTGGGCCTCTGGGGCTTGTGGGAGGGGCCAGGAAACGGCACCAGCCTTGGAACATTGGGCCTCACAGCTCTGACTCTGGCTGCTGCAAAAAGGGGCACTGGACTTCGGCAGAACATGGAACCTATCTCAGGGAAGCTGGAGGGTCGGGGGTCTACAAAGGCTCCATTTGATGCCTGGAAAGAAATCTGAGCCCTAGATCCTGCACCTTGAGTGCCCTGCCAATTAGCCTCTTCCTTCCATCTCAGCAGCTCCAGGGTTCTCAGAGGTCACTCGCAAACCCCCTCAAGCCTGTGGTCTCCCCAGGAAATCCAGTACAGGTCCACGTCTCCATGCCACCCCCACAGGCTCTCGTGTCCATGGTCACCTTGTCTGAGATGTGCTGCCCGGGTCACTCACCCTTAGCTCTCACGTAGTTGACCACAGCTTTCATGTAGCTGTCCCATCATCTACCGGCAGACACGGTCTCAGCCCCAGGCCACATCTGCAAGCAGCTGAGTCTCTGGGGAGCTCCTCTGCACCTCTAGGCTCTTACCACCCACCATGAACATCACTGCCTGGTAGAGGAGAGTGTGTCTAAACCCCTCAAACTTCAAGTCCAGGCCCTGGGGCTCCCGGAAGGGAAACCCAGCCAGCGCTAACCTCTATACCCCAGTCTGGAAGCAGGGTGATGTGAATACTGGTCAAGTTCTCCCAGGAGCCCTGGGGGTTCCATCCGGGGGTGTCAGAGACAGGAGGGAACTCAAAGGGCTGACTGAATCCTTACTTCGCAGGGAAACCAGGAAGAGGAAAAAGGAAAAGGCCCACAGAGGTTACAAGCATATTGTTACAGCGGTCAACCTCTGTCTGGGCCCCCAATCCTACGGCCACTGCTCTCTCTACCCTCCACCCTAGATCCACCCAAAAGGCAGACACCTGGAACAGACCACCCCCTAATTCTTTCCCTCCTTCCATTTAGCAGGAAGCTGAGCCAGTGAGGCATTTGGGCTGTGTCCCTGGACCTCTAGTGTGCACAGCAGTCGGGGTTCAGGTCCTGGTGCACCTAGTGCATGGTACTGAGCACTGCTCTGCTGGGTGCTCCTTCAGTTTAACCAGGTCCCAGAGCAGCTGAGCTGGGGGCAGGGAAGCCAGGCTGACTATAGAAAGCACGTTGTGTGAGTATGTGAGCGCAGGGGAAGGTGGGAGGGTAGCAGGAAGCCAAGCGCAGATTCCCTGGAGGGCAGAGAGGCACCATCTGGAATACCAGAGCCAGTGCCCAAGAAGCTGAGAGGCCTGCTCTTCCTGCAGCCCTGTAGCTGGCCCTGAGGGTGGGGGTCTCGCTCTCCCCTTAGTGGCCTGCCTTGCTCTCCTGTCAGTAGCCACCCTAGCCTCTGAGCAGGACAGAACTAGAGAGGAGGGCCGGCCGTGAAGGACTTCCCATGGGGAGGCCAGTTCCCGAGGAGGCCAGGGCACCAAGTACACAGGACGGCTTTGCAAGCAGTCAGGAAGTTCTGGAGCAAAACCCGCCAAAACAGAATTCTTTCGCAGAGAACATTTTCCTCCGGTGCCCCAGCTGCCCTGAGCTCACACAGGTCTGTTGTTGTTTGCATAATCTGGGAGAGGAAACCGAGCCCCTTTCAGCTGAGACCTCAGGCGCCAAAGCCTGCCGCTGGACAGATACTCCCAGCCGGCTTTCCGTTCCCTGGTCCCCGGTGGGCCAGGGTGCCATGGAAAGTTTTGGATTAGAAATTCCCAGCTTGCTGCTGATGTTCAGGCATGCTCCAGCTTCCTAAGACTCTGAGCAGGCCCACACAGCTGGCTAAAAAAGGGAGTGTCCACAGACCACTGTCAAGAAACCTTTTGGAAACCGGCTTAGAGCAAGGCCCTTTACAGAAATGACCTAACTTAACCCAACAACCTTCTGAAGTGCTATTATCATCATCGCGCTTTACAGGAAATGGGCTCAGAGAAGTTAAGTCACTTCCCCAAGGCCACACCGAACCGAGGAGCTTGAACACAGGTCTTGGAGTCCAAAGCTCTCCCTACCCTTTTCCTTGGAAGCTCCCTAGGATAGACACCTCCTACAGAGATCAAGGTATAGCAGAAGGCTTGTGGGCCTAGGGTACAACACCTGACAATCTGCCAGCCCCAGGCAGACCCAACAGCGCCCCACTGAAACTGGCAGCCAAGTTTCTAGAGAGTCCCCAGCTGGACATCACGCTGCTCCTGGGATGTCCAGGCCCTTCTTACCCTCCTGTAGCTTCACACTCTGGAGGTAGAGGGGATTTCTCAGGACGTCACAGCGGCCTGGCTCGTCCTCCTTAGTGAAGAGCAGCAGGTCCGAGTAGGCAAACAGTGTCACCTGTTCAGAGAAAGAGCAAACACAACTGTCCGCTTTGCTGTCCCCCCAGGACCCTGGGAGCCACAAGGTCCACTGGAGGTCCAGGAAACACACCCGTGCTGTGTCGGGCAGAACCAGAAGTGTGACCCCACCAATGACGGAGGCCTCCCTTGCAGTGGGGGTGGCCAATCTGTCCCTTAGTTTTCTAGACTTCCCCCACTCGAAGTAGAAAACAAAACAGAAGAAGCAATGGTTCTTGCCTTCATAGTGGACAGCTCTGCTGGCTTCACTATAGCCATAGCCCCCCAGGCTCACCTAACCTGGAAGAGCCTTACTTGGGCCCTGAGGTGTCTCAAGACCCCACCCCACATCTGACTCCTTCAAGCTTCTTCTACAAGCCCTCTGTAATGTGAAGGGAAGCATCACCAAGCAACATTACCAAATTCCTAGCAGATATTTTTGCAGTGTACCAATGAGAAACTGGTTCAAGAAAACAGCAGTTACTGACGTTCTGATACAGGCTTCTACAGAACTGCTAATCTCCTTTATGCTCCAAAAACAAAGGAAAGGCTATTTTTAAACATTACAGGTAAACTGACAGATGTGCTCAGCATATTTTTATGCTTAAAAAAAAATCCACTTGGTTCTCTATGTCCATTAAGGTTTACACTGTTCTTTCCTTTGTCTGCCCTACAGTAGCCTTTCCTTAAAGCCATAAAGTCCAATTTCAGATTCTATAATAATAATAATAATAATAATAATAATAATAATAATAATGAATCATTAATTATGGGAATTCCTCTTTGAGGGCCCGAATCTGACATGCCATCTCTTCTGAAGCAAGAAGAACCAGCCAGAAGGGCTTGGTACATCTTGAAGGGCACAGTGAGTATGTGATTTGTTAACCGTGTTTAAAAATCCAGCATGCTGACATTTAGCGAGCAAGCTGTTAAAGGTGATCCCACAGTCCCACCTCTGAGGCTTTCTTAAAGAAATACAAGAATATATAAACATGAACATGTAAGGATGTTCTCAGTGGCACTTCTGTAATTGAAAGAAAAAAAAGCCGGCCATGGTTGTAAACATGTATAATCCCAGCAGTCTGGTAGCTGAGCAAGAGAACTGAGAGTTACAGGCTATCCCAGGGTACATAATGAGCTCTGAGCTAACCTGGGCTATGTGGTGGGAGCTTGTATTCATTATGTATGTATTCATACAAACATATATACATATACACATGCATATATATATATATATATGTAAGATGGCCGACCTGCCATCTTGAGTGCCATGCAAACAGAGAAGCTGGAAGAAATTAGGACCACAGAGAAAATTCAGGGATGTCCTTAAGTAGTCTATCTCAGGGCTATGTCCCCTTCCAAGAAGTCCCAAACACAAAAGCTCTAGAATTCTTGGCTAGAAGGGCTCTTAACAATGGGCCCTGCCCAGCCCAGTCTCCATACAGCATCCCAGCTGCTGAGCACCTTCTCTTGTCCTATAAGTAAGTACTCCTTCAACAGTGTCATCGCCCTTTACAGCTCAGACAGGTTAGGTGACGCCCCACAGCCACACAGCTAGGGATCATTCCACAGGCCTGCCTGTTCCTAGGGTTCACATTCGACAGAGAGGTGGTGTTGTGCCCGTAGCAGATGAGACAATGAATTTAGTGAGTGTGGGAAGGAAAATGATGGAATGCTCAAGAGAATGACATAAGGGATCGTCTGAGGAGGGGCCTGCAAAGTCAAGGAGCTGCTGTTCTAGGCAAACCCACATGTTACCACAAAAGCATGCCCCCCAATCAGGGAAGGTCTGGCTGTTACTTCCAGATGCACAGGGCAGTTGGCAGGAGAAAGGTTGGAAGAGGAAGTCTGTGAGCCTGGAAAATGAAGGGGGCGGGGAAGGCATGGGGCTGTATGGAAGACTTGTGGGAGGAGCCACAGCTAGGTGAGAAAAACCCCAGGCCGCGGTCCCAGCCTGGTTCCCAGAGCTCAGAATATGGTCTAGACAGGAAGTGATTAAGGCATGAGAGAAAATTTCCCCCCAAGGTCGGTCAGGCAAAGGCCAGGGCTGGCACAGGGCTGGAGGCAAGGCAGACGGCAAGAATGCCAGAGCAAAGCCTGTGAGCCCTGCTCCCCAGCATCCCACAGGCAGGACCCTCACCGTCCATGAAGTTGTGACCCATCTCCACAGCCCAGTTACCCGGTGCCTTCCACCACTGGCCCCGGGGCCTTTCGAGTCTTTCTCTCACTGGTTTCTAGGACACAGGTATTTCCCAGAGTTTCAAGACAGTCACAGAATCCTTACAACTCCAGGGTGACTTCTTCCAAGTGGCCTAACCAAAGCCTTCTCCTGGGAACCAGGCCACGAGGCCATTAACTAAAGCACCCTAAGAACCTTGGTGCTTTAGTTAATGGTAAACCTGGATGAGTCAGTGTGAAAGTGAGGGTGTGACATCTTGGGCCTCACAGTATTCCTGGAACCTAGCCAAGAATCCTCAATGACCAGAGCTGTTGTCAGGATGTACGTATAAGAGGCTGCCATGAGCTTGACGTTGCGGCACATGCCATTAATTCCAGCACTTGGGAGGCAGAGACAGACCGATCTCTTGAGTCCGAGGCCAGCCTGGTCTACAAAGCAAGTTCTGGGACAGCCAGGGCTACACAGAGAAAGCCTGTCTTGAAAAACAAAAACAACACACACACATAAAGGCCACCACAAAATGCCAATTTGATCTGGATATGCATGCACCCAGCAAGTTTGTGACTTCTGGATGGGAGGGGCGGAGCGGTTTGTGCTGTGGGACCCGAGCCGCTCCCTAACATCAGCATGCTCAGAGAAGGGATGCTGCAGGGAGGGGGGGAGATGGGGGGAGAGGGAGGGAGGTGCACATTCAAGGAATGCAGAGCTCCCAACTACTTAGCGCTTTCCAGTTAACGACTCCACTGTGCAGAGAGGCCGCCATGCTCATTCGGAAACCACTTTGGGAAAAGTTATTCCCTGGAGAGTGACACAGAAGTAACTAGAATCTGTGACTCCTGGGGGCTCAAGGGTTCTAAAGCTCTCAGAAGCTACCCAACGCCCAGGACAGCTGCTTCCCATTTTCAGTTTGAGGACCATGAGATGAGGTCAAAGCACTCCTATGTGGCTGCGATCTTACCTCGAGGAGAATGGATGTACTTAATTTTCTTGTCCTGAAACCACCTCCTTCGATCTTAAAGAGAGAGTCTCTTCTAGTTCTCAGCCTCCAAAGATGCAGGAGGCAAGAATTTGTGTGTGTGTGTGTGTGTGTGTGTGTGTGTGTGTGTGTGTGTGTGTCTGTCTGTCTGTCTGTCTGTCTGTCTGTCTGTGTCTGTGTGTGTGTACGTTCGTTGGGGGTGGTGGTGAAATGTTATTATAGTTTGTCTTTTGTTCCTTTGTCTTTAAAAAACATACCAAAAGCATCAGGGATCATGGAAAGCATTACCCAGCCAGAGAACCAAGCACTAATCCTTGCTCCATTCTCTACCAGCCTTGAGACTCTTGGATCCGGTCACGGGAGCCTCAGTTTCTTCACCATGCTTCTCCTCTCCTGGGGTGAGGATGCTGCAGGATGATTGGGATCATGTATGTAGCATGGGATCCTGCCTGTAGCATGCATGAGCAGTGAGGCTATACAGTAAGTGCCTAATGTTTGTGGATTTAATGGTGAGCAAGACAGGAAAGAGTATATTCCAGGTGTCTGCTATCCCTAACTGGCTTCTTCTGGGCCCACTAAACATGCAGTCACAACTCTCCAGTTCTGACCCTGAACACCTTACCTGCACCACACACGTATGCACGAAACCCAGTCCCAAGGGACTTTTCGCTCTTACAACCTAGATCCCATCTCCCATTGGAATTTCTCTCCCACTGGAACAAGTGGGAGGTCGATAGGCTGAACTCCCTAATAAAGCTCTCCAAAGAGAGGTCCAGGAGTGATGTCAGTAACCCCAGGGGTGCAGGAGCTAAGCTCTGTGCGGGCAGTCAGTGGAAAGGGCTCTGGTAAAGCCTGTGGGGTGCTCACCTATGCCGCGGTGGACACAGAGGCGGGGGCTGCAAGGAAGGTTAAGAGTTAAATCGGTGGCCGGGGCTTGTAGTTGGGTCTCAGATAAATGAAGCTGGCCAGATAAGAGGAGAGATAGGGTTCTGGGCCAGTCATGGCAGGCCGCTGGCTCCAGGAGCCCTTAGAACCTATATAAGAAGCCATTGTTCTTTCATATGTCCTTGATTCTAAGGCAACTAATTGTGACAGACTAAATTGTAAGCCTGGATGGCTTCTAACAAGAAGCTTCCTCCTAGGAGACACTCTAGGTGACCCCATAAACAAGGAAGTAACCACAAAAGACTGTAACTTGGTGGCTGGGATAGAGTTAACACCCTTTGCCATGGTAAAGCGGCAAGCTGATCCTGTAAATAAGAGAAGCTTAGCATAGTTACCAGCCCTTGAGATGTCTGCAAGGTTGGAAAGTAGCTGTCCAGGTCAAGGGACCAAGGACTCAGAGAGCCGAGGTCAAAGCTAAAGGCAGAGGTGAACAGAGCGGGGCTTCAGTCATCCATAACTGGGTGGGCATGTGAGCGTAACGCCACTGTCCATCTCCCTGGTCGGACTGAGAGGACAAGTATAGAGTGTGTGGTCTCTCCATTGGCTTGTCCCATGACAGCCCAGAGAATTAACCAACCTCAACAGACTACGTTGGCTTTTGGTCAAGTTTCTGCCACTGTTTCATAAAACCTAAACAAAGGAAAGCCAACGGATTTTTCTTCCCTGGGACACACACACACACACACACACACACACACACACACACACACACACACACACACACACATGCGTGCGCGCGCGCTCTCAGGAGTTTAGGTTCCTTTTCCTCAATTTTTCACTGTTCTGTAATCTTTCCTAGTAAAGCTTACACTCTGCTCTCCATACTTTGAAGAGTTGACGTCCATTAACTTTCTTTGGTCTAAGACAACAAATAGAACTACTGACCCAGGTCAATCTTTGATGATTGACTGCTCCAGCATCTTACGCCCTTGGGTCACGCACAACAAGACTGCGAAGGGTCCTATCACACTCAAAAATCACAAATGATCAGCATGGGAGGGACAAGCACACAGTCTCCCCAGGCAGCTCCCGTGAAAGAGACAGTACTCGTTTGGAACATAGGTGTTAGGTGTCCGATCTGCTTGCTTACAACAAAACAAGAGCCAAGCCAACTTCCTGTATTAGCGCCAGTCACACAGAGTGCCCAGGACCATGAGGCTGCAAGGGGCCAGCCTCAGACCCTGCCCTTGGCCTCAGACCCTGCCCTTGGCCTCAGACGTGCACAAACCCATTACTCAGATGGAAAGAACTGATGAGGAAGGCAGAAGTCACCAGAAGCCAGGAACAGAGCTGGGGCTAGATCTAGACTTCCTGCCTCCGAGCTTCCTGATCTTTCCACAGATCCTAGCAGCCATTCATCCTGGATCTGCATCAGCTCTGCATCAGGCCTGAGCTGCAGCCAGCACCCTGCCCTCACCCCAGGACCTCCTGGTAGCACAGCCAGATCCCAGGGCTCCAACGTCTCTTAAACTGTTTCCATCCCAGGACTGAGCTGGGACCTGGCCAACTGTGAGGGTGAGGGAGCTTCTCCTAGCTTAGAGATAGGCTGGCTCCCAGGAAGAATGACACAGGCCCTACCCCTGACCTCTGCTGACAGGGCTGGAGCTGGGGCTGAGGGGCTGTGAGGGGTGCCAATAGGCTGAGCTTTGAGAAGGGGGTCTGGGGTTGGGTTCATACAGAAAAGCCTCCAACATTCTTCTAATAGTTCTCTTTGGCTAGTACTTCTCTCAGCTGGGGTGAAGGTCCTCTTTCGCCTCCATAGAGGAGTCCAGGGTAAACATTGAGATGTCTTTAGGGGCTAGAGGTACCTTTTGACCATATCAATGATCGACTCTCAGAGGCAGCGAGATCGTCATAGTAACCAGTGGGCAAGCAAAAGCTGGGTGAGCACTTGGTAGGGTTTTGGAACAAGTTTCAGGTCTCCACCCTGAGGTGGTAGAGAGAAAGTGAGGGGCCTAACGAGTGGGCAAGGAAGTCCAGCGGGAAAGCCAGCCAGGCTGGGCGCGTCTTACCTGGGAAGCCTTGTTCCTCCCCTCATACAGCAGCAGCTCTTCAGACAGCAGGAGAGTCCGGGCGGGGTTACAGAGATCTAGGGGCTGAAAGCCAATCACACTGAGTGGGAGTGCAAAGGGCAGCTTGCCAAAGCCAGATCAGAGAACTCTCTTGCAGAGGGAGAAGACAAGACCGCCCGCCCTCCTCCTGCCCCTGACCCCATGCACCCCTCACACCCACAATGGAAACAGAAAGACTCTGCTCCAGCCCTGCGCAGCCAGGCCTGACCAAAAGAGCTGCTCTCTCTACAGGAAGTTCAGCCACAAGCTCAGAGCCTTTGCAGTCCTCCCCTGATGCCCGCCCCCACACCAGGCTCCTAGGCCCTCCCAGCCCTCCTCTGTCCTGTGTATGCCTCACAGGAAAGTCTCTACTGTCAGACCCAAGAGGGATCTTGAGGGCCCTATGCCAAGAGATTTGGCCACTCAAGTCTCTTCAAGGCCAAGTGGGTCCCTCCCTGCCCTGCTCAGGTCCCAAGCTGAGCAAACTGACTCCTCCACCTTCATCCGTTTCCCCAGCAACCAAGTCCCACTCAAACTCCTCATCCCACCACCCTGTCCAGCCTAGCTCAGAGAACACACCCCAACTCTGGCTGACCATCTGGAAGCACCTGAGAATGCATGTTTGTCACATGACCCCCGAGTCCCTGACCTCAAGCAAGGGGCTGTAGAAAGATAATGAGGCAAGTACCAAGTGTGCACTCCAGCAGGGGCGGAGCTTCAAAAGGGGGCTAAATGAGACCTCTCAGGGACTCAGGAACAGACGGGAAAACTGATGGACAGCAAAGCAAGTCTGGCCAGCAAGCCAGGCGGGTGGGGCGGGGGTGGGGTGGTCGCTGGTGGGAAGGGAGCGCTCCACAGTAAGGAAGAGGCGAGATGGCTCCTGTATGGACAGCTGCTGGCTACTCCTTTATCTTGGTAGGTATTCATTCTCCAATTCTTTGTTTTGCACATGTAAGTGTTATGCCATTTTTAAAAATCTTGATTATTTCCTTTTCTTTTTTCTTTTCTATTTATTTATTCATCTATTTATTTATTTATTTGAGACAAGGTTTCTCTGTGTAGTTCTGGCTGTTCTGGAACTCACTCTGTAGACCAGGCTGGCCTCCAACTCAGAGCTCTGCCTGCCTCTGCCTCCCGAGTGCTGGGACTAAAGGTGTGCGCCACCACCGCCGCCCGACTTGAATATCTCACAATTTAAACTTTTTCAGTTTTTATAATTCTAGAGACTAATTTAAACTGGGCGTGGTGGTGCATGCTTTTAAGCCTAGCACTCAGGAGGCAGAGACAAGTGGATCTTTGTGAATTCAAGGTGAGCCTGGTCTACATAGTGAGGTCTAGAAGAGTCAGGGTTACACAGAGACCCTCTCTCAAAAAACAACCAACAAAAACTCTAAACCTAATTTAAATTTAAAACATTGTACTATATTTACTTATGTGTGTATGCACACACACACACACACACACACACACACACACACACACACACACGTATACGTGGAGCAGGCACAGCACAGGTACGGAAGTAGAAGGAGAACTTGTAGAAGTCCGTTCTCTCCTTCCACCACGTGGGGCCCAGGGATCGAACTCAGATTGTCAGGCTTGGCAATGTACACCTGCCCGGACAGGGCCAGCTGGTGAGCCTTAATTTGTAACAAAAATTAAAAGACAAAACCAAAAATAGCCAGGCAGGCGATACGCATCTGTAATTCCAGTCCTCGGGATACTGGGGGAGGATGGTGAGTTGGGCCACCCCGAGCTACATAGTGAACGCCTGTCGAAAGAGCCAAGCGTTGTGGGTCCGGCTCGGCGGCAGTGCGGGACAACAGGGGCAAAGCCATGAGCGTGGTCCCCAGCCCGACAAGGCAAGGGAGGGGGCAACATGACAGGAGAGAAGAGCTTTTTATATTTAAGATGATACTCATGGAAGTGACATCCAAATGACAGCACTACCGAAGACTTGAGAGGAAAGACACGTAGTGCATTTTCAATTTCTAGTCACCAGCTGTGTAAGCTGTTTGCAATTCCTTGGTAGTGTGACTACAGCTGCAATACACACACATGTGCAAGGATCTCTGTCTAGGACAGAGAGCCCTTTGGACACATGCTCAGAAGTGGTATGGGTAGATCATACGGTAATTATGTGTTAATTCAAAAAATCCTCATGTTGAAAATGTGGTATATATGTGCAATGAATTTTATTCAGACATTAAAAAAAATGACACTACAGCATTTTAAGGAAAATGGACAGATCTAGAAGACATATTAAGTGAGGTAATCTAAACTGAGAAAGACAAATACAGTATGTGCTTTCTCATATGCAGAATGGAACTTCAAATGCTTCTATTATATATACACCTGTGGGTGTAGGTGTGGGTCACATAACCAGAAAAGGAACCACAAGAGGGGAAAGGAGCTGCTGAGGAAAGAGGGGAACAGAACATGCAGGGCATGGAGGTGGGAAAGAGGTTATGATGGCAGAAGAGTATTGGGGGTCGGGGTGTGGGAGGAGAGGATCAGGGAAGGACAGGGAAAAACAAATTGTGTTTGAAAATGCCATAATGGAACCCAAGACTTGGTAAGCTGGCCAAGTCATGACAGGAAGAGGGAAAGAAGGAGAGACATGGAGAAGTGAGAGAGGAAAGGGAAGAGGTGTGTGACTCCTGCGTGGCGATTGCTGGCCGGATGTGTGTGTGCCCGAGCAAAGCGACCAGCCACAGCAGCTCTCCCTCAGTCCGTTTCAAACATTAACTCTTGTGGATAAGGCAGCGGATGGCACTGGCTGACTTTGTGTCACCCCTTTCCCAGCCCCAGAGGATGAGGAGGCTTGGGAGGAAAAGAGGGGGCTCCCTCATGGGCTTCCCTGATCATCTCCACAATACGAAGCCAGTTCTCTGTCCCCAAAGGGGGCCCTGGATCCTCGATGAGGCTCCACCCTCAGTCCTGGAACCAAGGCCCCTGCCTGTTCTCACTTCCTCCTGAGGGAACCCTGGGGCATGCCACAGGCTCACCTGCACAAAAACAGGGAACACCAGGACTTTGGGGGCCAGCGTGACGTAGGTGCCGTAGCTTGAGTGCTGGACATGTGGTCTCAGGGCCGAGCAATCTTGGTAGTTGCTGTGGCTCTTCATGGTCTGCACTGTCTTCATCAGCCGGGACTTCTTGCCCAGGCCGGTGTACGATTTTCCTTTAGTGGTAGTCCCTGGTTCTGTGGAGCAGAGGTGGGGGACAGTGAGTCACTTCCATCATCCCTCAAAGGACACCCCCCCCCCCCGGTAAGAATAAGGAATAAGATCTAGTCAGTGAACCCAGTCCAGCTGGTCTCAGCCTTAGCCTTAAGGGAGAGAGGGAGAGAGAGAGAGAGAGAGAACTCCAGAGCTAGGAGGGAGCCACTAGCCCACAACTGTGACAGGGGGAGTTACCCCCTCCCCAGTGACCCAGGCACCAAAACAAACCTATCTATTTATCAGCTTTGCACTTTTGAAAACCAAGAAATTGTCTAGGCATGCTGGCACACGCCAAGAACCCCAGAATCCAGGAACCTGGAGCAGAAGAACCCAAAGACCTAGCAGCCTAGGCTGCATGACAAGATGTACAGCAAGGCTGTATAATCCCATCTCAAAACAACAAAACCGCAGTGCCACGAATATCAAGAAATTGCTCAGGCCTGACCTCACTGATCCTGGAGTCACACATGGAACATGAATCAGAGCAGAGCTGGCTTCACACGCTCCCGGGCACCCACTCATCCTCCTGCTGCTACCATTCCAACCCAGACCTCCTGCTCATCATCTCCCAGGCTCTGTAGACAAAGGTCTGTCCCCTGCAGTAGGGACAGAGACAGTCTGCTTTGCCCATGGACCTCGGGGTCCACACCTACCGCTAGCCCAGGTAGCAGGAGCCCACCCTGCCACCACCATCAATTTGTCTAGGATAAGAAGTGGCACTTGTGTGTGCCCTGGGGGCAAGCAGTGGGAACAAGCCCCAGTGATGGGGCTCACACACACCTAGGCTCCTTCCTAGGGTTCCAGTTGCCAGGGGAACCCCACCAGGTTCTCCCTGATGGAGGTGCCCAGCCTGGGCCTCAGAGGCCAGGCTTCCCTAGCTTTCTGCAACCAGTGAACAGGTGGCCTGACCCAGCAGCATCTCGGGGAAGCTCCCCACCAACGCAAGGCCACAGCGCAGAGGAAACAGCCAAGAGGGTTTCATACTTCTTCCTCCCCCGAACCCGCAATGCCCCTTCTCACAGAGAGGTGAGAAAAACATGTCAACGCTTCCCATCCCCACAAGTGACCAGTGATCACAGTCTGGTGGCAGCGCTCAAACCACTACAACTCAAACCACTTCCTGCCTGTTCAGGGGTGGCTTAGACGGTACAAAGAACAGGTACCCAGAAGGGGACAGGAGGCACAGAGGCAGGGAAGGAGCCCCACAGCTTCTCTTCTGACCTGACCCTGGGAGTTGAGGGGTTGTTTGTACAGCAGCTGGCCTTCTACTGGAAAAATCCAACCTGGGTTTCCAGATCTACACTACGTTTGAGTCGGACAAGACACCCTGAACATGAGCGATGACTTCCTAAGTCATCATGCGGTACGGAACTCTGTGCCACTGTGCAACACAGGGCAGGCTCCTTCCCTGTCTGAGACAGTTTCCTCTGTTTGGAAGCAGAGACCATACACCTTCCTGTCTCACCTGGGCCAGGCAGTCAGGTAGAAACTCACAAAAAAGGTCCCATGAGAAGCGGGGCTTGGAAGGCCAGGCTGGTATGTGACTGCAGGATGGATGATCAACACTAAGCCAGCCATCAATGGTAGCGTGACAGAGAAGGTCACTGGGCCTGGGAGCGTGCCATGAGTGAGGTCTGGAGGTAGATGGGTTGAGTGGACATGGCACAGCCTGGACCAGAGAAACAGGGTCTGAGGCCAACCAGACCCAAACGAAGGAAGGACCCAGTCCACAGTGGAGAAATCGAGGTGCTGGGCTCTAAGTGGAGACTTACAAGAGATTCCTTTTCTTTCCTGGCCCAGCTGCCCAGTGCTGTCAAAGGATCTTCCCCTTAGACATCAAGAGTCACAAATCAGCCACCTGACATGTCTCTCTGCTTCCAGAGAGGAGGGGACTGCCTACTCCCATTTTCCAGATAAGGGAACGGAGGCCTAGAGTGCTTGGGCGAGTTGCCCAAGGTCATTCAGCTGGCAAATGACACCAGGCAGGACCAGCCCGATCTAGGTGGCGGCCACACCCTAAAACTACCCTGCCACACCCCCTGGAGATATGGGGCAAGGGGTGTGGCTCTCCGGAACTGATTTTCCAAGTTATCCTTTTTTAGAACAATCTAGATTGCAGCCCGGTTGCGGAGCCCCACGAAGGCAAACTTCCACCTGTCACCTTGTGATGATGTCTGGCCTAAACCCCATATCATCTCCATTTCCTCTAGCACCTGCTTCACTGACCAAACACAGTAATTATAGGGCTTTGCTCCCAGCTTCCGAGGCGAGCCCTGGCAGTCCTCTGGCTCTGGCAGTGGTGAATCTGAGGTCACTCTGCTTTTACAGGACAGCAGTTTCTGGGGCATATGCCAACTACAGCCAGACAGGCACTCTAGGCTCCGGAAAGGTCTCAGACCCTGTTCAATGCAAGATGGCTAAGTTGTCCCTGTCCCTGCTATTCAAAGCAGGATAGCTGAGCTCTCCCTCCTGAAAGGCCACCTCCTGGCAGGCTAGAGAAATCAAAAGGCCAGCACCCTGCTGACAACCCTAACCTCTGAACTCAGGACCTGGGGCTGCAAAGAATTAATGCATGGGAATGGGGAAAAGATATCTTTTGACACTAAAAGGATCACTGTGCTGAAATAGAAATGAAATAAAGCCAAGATCTTGATACAGGGGCTGGGAAGATGGCTCAGTTGGCCAAGTGTTTGCTGTACTAACCGGGTGGACCTGAAGTCTAATTCCCAACACCCAGGGGAAAAGCTAGGCATGGTGGCACAAGCTTGTAATCCCAGCACTGAGGAGGCTGAGGTCCCCTAGAGTTCTCTGACTAGCTAGCCAGCTCACTCAGCAGTCTCAGGTCCTGGTGACAGAGGGTGTCTCAATAAAATCAAAGTCAACGGCTCCTGGGTTTGACCTCTGGTCTCCGCATGCATGCACACCCACACACATACAAACATGTGCACACACACACAAGATCTTGACAGAAGGAATTCAAAACATCGCCACTGTTATTAACACCATCACCTCTTCCTTATTCGTCCCTTCCCCTGAGGCTTAGGTGACTAGGCCCTTCTTGGCACTGCATTTCAGAGAGGAGTAAAAACACAGCCAGGTTTGGGACTGACCACACAGGCATCTCTGGAGCTTTGTAGGAAAGGATCGGAGAGCTCCTAGCCCATGTGCATGCACCCACACAGGTGACACACCTCTCCAGGTCCCTTCCTCAGCGACAACCATACAGACAGGCAGAGTTATTCTCCTTAGCCACTCTGCCGCAGTTCCATCAAGTTTGTGTTGCCTGACAGGCCCTGGATCTGATGCTGGGCCCACAGAAATACTCCAAGCCCAGCCCCGCCCCTAATAAAGTCACCATTTAGCAGTGACATATTTCTTCCACCCTAATGTGCCCACTAAAAGCTTTTAGACACTTACTGTTGAATCACTATCAGGATCCTCCCCAGGAGGGGCACACCTTCTTTTCTGGCAGGCAAGGCCCAACTGCCCACAGGCCCCAGCAGGGAGAGGAAGGGGGTGCCTTCCTTCACCAGTCCTGAGCCTGATGGAAGCCCCCTCTCCCCAAAGGCCCAAGTACCTACTTTAAGAATCATCTTCTCACTAATGGAGGGAAACAGCCCAGAAAGAAATCTGAGAGAAGATAGGAAAAAGCCACTCTCAAGGAAGAAAGTCAAGGGTATCCCGTGGGCACAGAAGAAAGGTTCAAGCACACTCAAGGTGGCCTCACAGGCCACATGGCATGGCTGGACTCAAGTTTGTAGACCGGTTGGACTTTTGGGTCAGAGCTGTGTGGCAGGTGTGTAAGGTCCTCAGAGCAGCCCCCCCCCCCCCCCCCCCGCCAGCTCCTGCAGAGAGACCCATCTCCCAGGCTTCCTGGAGAACTGGTTGCTTTACGCCGGCTTCCATTTCTGGCCAGAATGTACAGACCAACGGAGAAGAATGGACTAAACAGCAGAGACATCTGTGTGCCTCAGAGACGGCTCTCCTGTACCATCTTTCAGCATGCAGGCAGCTACACGCAACTGTTTGCCTGCAGAATCCTCCAGACAAGGCCCTGAGCAAGAAGCACTGGTTCTATTTTCTAGGTAAAGTGAGGCAGCTTGAGTCCCACAGTGAAGAGTCCGACCTGAGGCCTCACAGCTCAGCATTCCAGGACTGCTTCCCATGCAGGTTCAAGCATGGTGTCTACAGCCCCTAACAGATACGGTTGCTCGGCAACACTGGATAATAGCCAAAGAAATGCTCAGCATCTGTCTCTTGGATGGTTCTCATAGAATCCCCCTCTACCAACTCAGCTCTCACTCAAGGAAGTACACACTCATTCAGTGAGGGGAAGAGGGTACCAGGAGGATCAAGTGTCTGTGTCAATATGCTGGGTAACCCCTACTCCATTAGAAAGGCCTCTGAACTCAGAGCAGGAAGTCCGGCCCAACCTCAGCTGACGTCAGCTTTCTCCCCAGGCTGAGAGGGCTTGGCATAGTGGACAGCTCACCTTCAGGGATGGCATCCTCCTGATACACAGGCCGCAGCAACTGCAAGGGAAAGACAAGAGACCCAGCTTCAGTCCCAGGAACGGGGCAGAGCAGCCCAGCAGGTAGCTGCACACAGACTTGGGGCGTCGCAGGGCAAGAGGAAAACTCAGGGGTTCTCTTAAGGGGCAGAGGTGGAACGGAGCTGAAAGAGGCTTCATGCACCATGAAATTGTGGCCCTCTGAGAGACCTCAACTTCCTTCATAGCAGCTTGTTCCAAAGTGCATCTCATGGATCACCAGAACGGTGGGACTGCTATACCACAGAGGTCTCCTCGCAATCCAATTTTCTGTTTGGGAGACATGCTTAGCCTACCACAGGGACCCAGTGCCCTTCCACAGCCAGCTGTCCATACCTGGCTTCCAGGGTTCAGCGGGGCCAAGATGATGTAGTTGGGGTCGGTGGGGGTGGTGGCCCGAGACAGTGCAGGCAGGGTGTGCTGGCCGCTGCGCTTGCCCACCTCAGTGTACCGCTCCCAGCCACCAAGCAGTAGGCCGTCGGAGCTGTCACACACCAGATGGCAGCTGTGGCGCTGCTCAGGACGGGACGGGGCCCCATGGGTACAGTTCTTCTCCCTCTTGTTAGGGGGCGACAGGAGGTCATGTGTGGACTTGCAGGAGGCCCGCCGCAAAACTCCACCATCCGGCCCTGGCTTGATCTGGGGGACCACACGCCACACGAGCAGGATGATCTCACTAGGGCAGCTCCTAGAAATTCCACAGAGAAGTTCAGACTTGGGGAGACCAGAGTCAGTGAGGGTAGGAAGCCTGCAGGGCAGAGAGCAAGTGAACGAAACCAGGCAGGAGCAAGCAAATGCAATTTTCATGTAGTCGTTCTAGAAGCCGACCAAAATGGACCGTTAGGGTGTTACCCCCACGGAGTCAAGGAGCTCAAATATTTTACAGACTAAACTTTAAATTGTGCAGTAGAAACATCTGCGCTGTCTACACACCCTTAAACAAAGGGTTTAGCCATTCAGTAGCGTAATTAGCTGAAGTGGAACCGGCCCCCTGGAACCATGGCAGGAACCATGGGGTCTGTTCAGAGAGTCTTTCCTGCTGCGTGCTGTGAGATCAACATTCATCGGAGCCTGAACCTTCCATTTCCAGGCCAAGAAACGGATTCCCTGAGGAGCGATGTAAATTGCTCACAGCTGGGCAGAGAGTAGAAGGAGCAGAGTAAAGCGAGGCAGTGTGCCCGGGGCTGGGTGGGGAGGATACGCCATCCGCCGCCCACTGCCCCCTGTCACCGGATCTCGTGTGCCAGCTCCACACATTTCCAGTGCTCCACGGGCCTCTCATTCAGCTGTAGCACTGTGTCCAGCTGCTGCAGCCCTGCTCTCTCTGCTGGGCCCCCTGCAAGGACAAAGAAAAGAGCCTGGAGTCCTTCGCTTCCCTAGTGACCGTGGGCAAGGATTGCCCCTTTTCTCTCTGTTGCTCTGTCTGAGAAAAGAGGTGCTGAACTAGGGGGCTGTCGGGGAGGTAGCACTCCTTGCCCATGTCTCCTCTCACCCTAGCTGCACCCCCCCCCCGACCCACCACTGTCCCCCTCCAAGGGTCTCCTGGAACAGTAAGGAAGTGATATCTTTTTTGGTGGAGGAGGTGTGTGCATGTGTGTGTGTGTGTGTGTGTGTGTGTGTGTTCAAGAGTGTGGGAGAGGGAGGGAGAAAGAACATATGCACACATGCATATAGAAGCCAGAGGACAACCTCTATACAACAAGTGTCTTTCCTCAGGCACTGTCTTTCTTTCTTTCTTTCTTTTTTCTTTTTCTTTCTTTCTTTTTTTTTTTTTAAAGACAGGGTCTCTCATTGGCCTGGGACTCATGAAATAGATTACTCCAGCAAGTCCCAACCATCCTCCTTTCTCTGCCTCCTCAGGAGTATAATTACAAACACAAGCCACTATGTGTGGCTTTTTCTTTTCTTTTCTTTTCCTTCTTTTTTTTTTTTTTTTTTTTGGCGTGGGTCCCGGAGACCAAACTCACGTTCTCGACTTTGCAAGATGAGTACTTTACTGACTGAATTAACTTCTTATCTCTGTTTGTTTTGTTTGTTTGGTTTTTGGGGTTTTTTTTGTTGTTGTTATTTGTGGGGGCGGGGAGGGGCAGAGTCTCATGATATAGGCCCAGCTAGCTTTGAACTTCCAGGATCTCATTTCAGAATCCTCCTGCGAGCAGGGGCTACAGGTATGAGCCACCACACCCAGCTAGGAAGTGGTGAGTGGGCCTGGAGACAGGATGAAAACTCGTAAGTGGCTTTCATTAGCCATCACAATTCAAGTTTAGTTCCTCTTCAGAAACCACCGGGAATCAAAAGTACAACACCTATTTTCATTTTGATAAAACACAAATGGGTCTATTTTCATAAACCTCAGATTCATCTGTGGGTCATTTAAAAATATTATTCTTTTCCTTTTGAAAACCCAGACCCTGATCCAGTGTGAGGCCCCCTCCAGCTCCAAACTGCAAAGCCCAGTTGCCTAGTGGGAGGGTAGGACTGGCATCCTTCGCCATTCACTTACCAGAATCCACAGCCTGGACTCGGACCGGAGAGTCACAGCAGATGGTGAAGCCAAAGCCGTCTTTGCCCCTCGGGATAGTGATCTAGAACACAGCCCTGCCCAGTTACTCCAGAGTTTTCGAAGCTGGGAAGCCTCTAACCCCACCCCCCACCCCCAGCCACCTTCCTCTCCACAGGAACCAGACCTGAAAAGGAGCCAGCCAGTCTCTCTCTGCTCCTATCTGAGACCCAGCATCTTAACACTGACTAGCAGCCCAAACGAGATGCTGAGACCTCATGTGGAGGGCAGAATTGACTGGATCTGGGAAAAGGATAAATCTTGCCCCTTGTGGTGCTAACAGCCCCAGCTCTTTACCTAAGAACCGTCTAGAATTGTATACCTCCTCTCCCCACCGAAGACCAGCTGCCTGCCTCCCACCCAGCTTCCCTTCTCACCAAGGTCTTGGGATCTGGCGCAGGGTTTGCCTCGTGCTGGGGACCCACAAATAAAGCCAAGCGGGTGGCCATCCTCCCAGAGCACAAGGAGGGAAAACTAGGACCTACTATCTCAGCCTACAGCCAAGTGTCAGGGGAAGAGTGCTGGGGTTCACAGGCAGGCTTGATCAGAGCCTCTAGGCAGTCAGGAAGAGAGTTCCCGAGAGAGGAGATAGGCACAGGCAGAGCCAAGGTCTCCCAGATAAACCAGCACTAGCCACGGGCTTCACTCTGCCTGCAAAGGGCTACGTATGCGGGAGGGTCCCAGCCCCAACTTTCAGAAGTTCCATCAAGGGACCATCCTATCGGGATTCTCTTTGCAGACCAGCATTCTATAATCCAGCTCCTGCTGTGTGTCATGCACTGCTGAGGCACATGGGACAGGGGCCCCTGGGGAGTGGCACTTGGTCTCTGGCTACTGGAGAGGACAAGCCCACACAAATCTCTAAAAGTAGGCCATGACCAGCAACAGGAGAAAACAGGGCTGTACAGCAATCAGGCCTGTGTGATCCCGGACACCACGCCTGTGCCTGGCAGAAGTTCAGCAAAGGCTTTGTCCCTTAGGGTGGTGACAGCATCTGATCTAAAGAATGTTTACATCTGGGGCTTCAGAAACGATTTAGTGCCGTGGTTCTCAACCTTCCTAACGCTGCGACCCCTTAATACAGTTCCTCGTGTTAACGGCGATCTCCCAATCACAAAATTACTTTCGTTTGCTGCTTCGTAACTATAATTTTGCTACTGCTATGAATCGTAGTGTAAATATCTGATATGCAGGCTATCTGACATGTGACCCCTGTGAAAAGGTCACTAGACGCCCTAAAGGGGTCGAAACCCAAGGTTGAGAAGAGCCGCCTTAGCGGATAAGAGCACAGTCCACCATTCTTGCTAGTACTAGCCCCTGAGTTCTAGTCCCAGCTTCCACGCCAGGTGGCTCACAATCACCTGTGACTCCAGCTCCACGGGGGCCCAACACCTCCGGCCTTCATGTACTCATACCCGTGCACACATATAAACATAATTTTTAAAAAATCTTTTAAAACAAAACCTTCAAAAAAAAGATAGAAAGGATGATTCTGTGTGCAGCATGGCCCATTGGCTCATTCAGATGATTAGATCAGAAAATGGCGGCTTCAGAGGGAGTCCCAAGACGCCCTTAGGAGAGGGAAAGGTCCGGGTGACTCCCAACAAGGTACAAAGGAAAGGTATCCCGGCTAGGAAGAGGAAGAAAACAGTTCAGCCAGCCTGGACTAGGTCAAGGGCGTCAGCCTTGGGCAGAGCAGGCTGTCTCTTGGAGCTGAGCGCCTGTATTCACCTGATGGTGCCCCGAGGCCAGGCGTAGTGAAGGGGAGCAGGCAGGAGCCCAGGGTGACCAAAGGTCCCCGAGGCTTTGCTTCCCACCAGTCCTGGGCCTGGATTCAAAGCAAGTTTATAAAACAGGAAATCTGACAGACAAGGGGGAGGGGAGGGGGGCAGGAAAATACCCTGTTCCCATAAGAATTCTGGGAAAACACACAGCTAAGACAGGAAGAGAAGGAAAAAGTGGAAAGAAAGCTAAACAAAGCTGGGAGTGAGTGTGGAACTCTGGGAGAACGAGACGCTTCTAGTTGCCAGGCCAAGAGAGGCCCAGCAAAGACAGTGGGAGCCACTGTGTGGGACTCACAGGGGACTTACAACCCACCGGCCACGTCACACAGACACCCTTCCAGCCCTGCCCCGGGCCTACACCACAGGACGCTGAGGATGACCCCTCCTTTCTGGAGGGTGAGCCCCAGCTCCCTGGCCTGAAGATGAATGTGTTTCCATGTTCTGGTGCTCTAGTCCAGGCAGGGACAGGAGCCTCTTCACCTCCCTGAGTGTCACCCCAGAGAACAATCCCATCCCATTGGCAAGCAAAGGAGCGTCAGGCAGGAGAGGGGATATAAAGAAAGGAGAATACCGCCTGGCTTTGTGGGAGAAGCGGACTGCCATGGAGGCAGAACCGTACCATCATGATCTCTGATCATGCATGCAGAAGGTGGTGTCCAAGAGTCTGTCCATCACCACATCCTAAGGAATACAGCTCCAGCAGGCCCCTTTTACAGAGAAGGTAATCAAGGCCCAAAGTGAGAGAATGTTCTCCCACCCCTCCTCTCTGACCTTGGGCTCAAGGAGGGAGACAGTCCCCTCCTGACTCTCAGCAGCTCCTGACAGGTGTCCTTCCCAGGGTGGTTCCTTCTCTTGCCTGTCAAGGGCATGGAGTGCCATTGCTCCTGTGTCTCAGCCATGCCAGTGCCTGCCTAGTCTCTGATGTTCTGTCACACCTGGACTCCTGTCCCTAGCTGCCGCCAGCGTTTACTGACCACTCCCTAGAGATGGGCGGCAGGCACAAGCCGTGCACTTTATAGGCGTCATCCTTCCACTCGCACAGGCTTGTCTCTGTTACATTACTCCTATTTTAGGGACAAGGGACTATGAATTGCTCAGGAGTGGCAGCTAAAGGGGACCAAGCTGGACTAGAGTCCTGGTCCCATAAAGTTTTGTGCACCCCAGCTTCTAATGCAGGAGACAGCTTACTCCTCGTCCAGAGCTTGGGTCCAGTCCATGTGGGTACCAGGTCCCACTCTGACTACCAGCACATCCCAGTCTTCTGGCCCCTTAGCCCAAGGACACCTGGGATTTCATTACCTTCCATCCAGTGCTCACCCCGCCCCACTACCTAAATGCTCTTGCCACAGGAACTGTTCAGTCCAACCGCAGGAAAGTAGGAAGCATAGGTTGGGATGAGTAGGGCAGGACCTGAGAGCAGAGGAAGGACGAGAGGAACATCTGGATACCCGAGTGACAGAGGCAGGTACAGGGACCCCGTGGGCATCTCCCTGTGACCTACACACTAAGGAGTTAGGACCTAGATTCTAATGAAGGCCTTCTTCATGTTTTAGCAATCAGGAAATTAGTGTGCTCCCTCCAGCTCGGACACCACAAATCTGGGTATCTTTTAGCTTTATAGCCAACCCATTCCTATTTCATAAGAAAGAAAATCCTAGCGGTGGTACTCACGCCTTTCCTCCCGGTACCCAGGAAACAGAGGCAGGAGAATCTCTGAGTTCAAGGACAGCCAGGGCTACACAGAGAAACCCTGTCTCAAAGAAAAAAAAAAAGAAAGAAAGAAAGAAAGAAGGAAAGGCCTAGTTCTAGAAGAGTCTTAGGGGTGAACGTCGCCATCACTCCGGCCTCTGCCCTGCTTCCCAGCCCAGAAGCTAAGAGACAGCCTCAATGAAGTTGGACTCTAAGGCCACAGCAATGTGGACCCACTTCAAGGCAGCAGGGAGGAAAACATATGCATACACAGAATATCCTATCTCACACAGAAGCACACACAAGGGATGAAACGGGTATGGCTGCCCACCAGAAACGGGAAAGTCAGCAATACCGTATCCCTCCGGAGTCCCTCAACTTCCCGGCCCAAAAGCCATTGGCAATCTCAGACTTGACATGCCTTTAAAAAACAAAACAAAACAAAACAAAAAAACCGAAAACAAAAACAAAAACAATCACTTCCTTCCCAGATGATAAAAACAAAAAATCAGCTAAATCATCTCATCAAGGATGCCAGCCAGTGGTTAGGACACACAGAATTGGCCTCAGCTGCCTGTAACATGGGGTGTTAGGTAGCAGACAGGGCCGTGGGTCCAGCCTCTGCCTCAGACTTCCCCCGCATATCAAAATGTGCCTGCCGGGGACAGGAGGCGGCACGGACGGCCTTGTGGAGAGAGAGATTCTACATGGATGAGCCCCCATCCCTGACTCCCCAAATCACGCGGGACCCCAGCGGAATCGGGCACCCACCTGCCGGTAGCGGCGTTCTGAGCACACCTTGCAGAGCCCATTGAAGCGGTTCATGGCTGCGGATCCTGCCTCAGCTGCCTCCCCATGAAAACCCAGCTCTCCCCCCAGCAGCGGGAGCCCGCACTGCGCCCCGTCAGCCTGGCATGACCGCCCTGGGAAGCCCGCCCCACAGAAGAATGGCAGGAAATCACCTCTCACCTCCCCGAGCCCTGTCTGCGCTGTGTGCCTCTGCAGATAAGCCCGAAGGCTTCCTGAAACCTCAGAATGACAAGGAAGAGAGAGAGTTTTATATTCAAATTCCTGTCAGCTAGTTAGTATTCCTCGGGCCTGGCGGGGAGAGGGCGCCTTTGTTCTGACTGCATTCTCTGCCCTGGGCCACTCTGTGAGTCCAGTGTTCTCACAAACACCCCTCACCGAGAAACTCAAGCAGAAAACACGCCGCTGCTCTGTAACAGCACACCTCCCTGCCAATCCCAGGGTCCCCAGGAGCAAATCCTGTGGACTAACCCAGTGGGGACAATCCGGGATGGCCTAAGCACGGTACCCAAGTCAGAGAACACAAAACATCTGGAGACTGACGGGCACTCTGGAGCTACTTAAAAGTCAGCTTCTTCGTTCACAAAAGTGGGCTGTGAAGAGGGACTGATGGCACACAGATGTGTAAGTGGGTTCCCAGCCACGGGGGCACCACCCTCCACATCTTAACAACAAGGAAATGGAAGCCAAGGAGAGTGGCTACAGCTGAACGCCAGGTTAGAACCCAGGCCCTGCAGTCAAGTTCCTTGTAGTTCCAGGATCAGGTCTTGAGAGTGGCACAGAATGAGCCCAGCCCCCTCTGCCCTCCTAGGAGCCCCTGGGAAAGCCCACCTGCTCACTCATGTTATTAGAACAGAGGCAGTCCCTTGGTTTGGTTGCTAAGTGATCATGGGTAGGTGACCTACATCTCTATGTCCTTCAAATGGATTCGAATAAGCGAACTCTTATTTTCCCAAACCTCTGCCAATCCCTGTCTCTGCTGAGCGCTATGGACACCTTTCGGGTGTATCAGTCCCCAGATCCAATGCACTTGAGAACAGTAGCCTTAGGGACATAGGACAGTCTGCAGAATCTAGCACAAAGTGGGTCTTTCTTTCACAAGCCACCTGGAGACCTCCAATGTTGATGTCCAAGTAATTCCCACATATTACCAGGGTGGCTCCATAGTCACTACCCCATCACAGACAGTGTGGGGGAAGATCTTTGGAAACTATCCCTGAAGCTAGGGGAAGCTTTTAAACTCCACGTGAAGCCATAGAAACTACATCTGGCAAGTTACCCTAGCACTATAATGGGAGCTAGACATTTGTACAAGGCAAACTGAAATTACCTGACGTGAAATAGAAGCTGTAGTTCAATTCCTCAGGCTCACTTGCTACAGCCAAATGCTAAGAAGCCACAGGCAGCAAGCTGGTACTATGCTGGGCAGTGATATTCTCAACAGTATGTTCCACAAGGGCTGAACCAAGGCTCTTTTCCAGGACCCAGTGCCAGGCTGGGGTCCATGCAGGTGTAACCACCCCATCGTGTGTGAGGGGATAGATGAGTGCAGCCAAAGGAGAGGTTTCCTAGATTGCTCAAGGAGCATGCCCACATCACGTCTCCTCAGTGATGTCTTCTCCGCACTCTAGAGACAGCACAGCACAGGGCACACCCTTTTCAGAGGCACTGTCTACCTCTTGCTGCCCGTGTGGCGACGGTGACATATAACCCAGGGACCTGTATGTCCCCTTATCGGTAAGGTGGGGTGGTGAGGGTTAGATCACAGTAGAACCCAGGGGATAAATGGGTGCTACTGGGTCCCTGGGAGTTGGATTTTCCTTCTCCTAGTTAAAGAAAACCATGAGTCACTGTGAGAGTTTCTCTAAAGAGACTGAGTGAACTTTGGACAGTTCTTCCAAATCCCTACATAATGTTCCTCTTCAGATTCAAAGCTGTTAGGAAGCTAGAAACCCATACCATTCAGGTTCAGAGTCCTGGCTACTCTCCAGCCCCGGCAGGCCTAACCTGTGAAAATGACATGGCCACGGTCCTAGGAGAAACAGGGGTTCTGGGGACCCGGGGGAAGGGAGGATTCTGTTTCTGGAGGTCAAAACAATCTGAAAGATCTGGTCACCTGTGTTTCCTGGCTCTCTCCCACCCTTGCAAAGGTCATGAATAACTACATACAGGGCAGTGGCATACCTTTCCAAGGACACACCTTAGGAAAGCCAAGAATCCTCCCTCACAATGCATGACTTGCTGAGTTCCAAACATCAAATGCTACCCTCTTTCACAGCCACTTCCTGGGTCAAGAGGCTGACAAAAAGGAGATCAGAGACCCTGGATCCATGCCCAGGTTCCACCAGGCCAGCAGGAATGTCCCCACCTACCTGGAGTTTCTCCCCACTCTCAGGGTCCCCAACTCCTGGCATTCTCAACAGCATATCTGGAAGGTGATAGAGCTGAGTCAGAAAGTTCCTATGGGCAGGAGGGCCCATGCACCAACCAGGGGTGAGAGTGTCAGGGTCGTTCCTGGCTTCCAGACAGAAGGATGCCAAGGCTCGGAGTAAGCAGAGGCTCAGGAGCCAGGGCTGTGAGCAAAAGAACAGGACTGAGGGGGCATGAAATCCAAGCCCTGAGCCTCAGGCTCACGGCAGACCCTAAAACCATGCCTGCAGAGGTGAGATCCCCAAGGTTAGCAAGGCCTCACAGGTGAGATACAGAACCTTGGGAAAGAGACACTTGGGAAGTAAAGAAGCTTCTCTGAGTGAGGCAGGGGACTGATCTGTGTGAAGGGGCACAAACTCCGAGGAAAGCTCATCATATGGTAATAATGTCCTGGGCATGGGGTAGCCTGTGGTCCTATAGCAGCTGGAAAGAAGTCCCAGGGAGGCGAGATTCATGCTCCACTCATTAAGGGTCAGGGAGCTTCAAGGGGCTCGTACACACCTCTCAGGGGCTGGAGCCGCCGCCTAGCCACCTTGAGGTGCTTGGTCCGGCCCAGGTCCTCCCCTAGCAGATAATACCAGCCACTGATCTCCTGTCATGAGAGAAGGAAGAATATGATCAGACCAAAGAGGCAGAGGGAACAGGTCAAGGCACCACTAACCCCTCAAAAACAAACCAAACAACAAAAACTGCAGCTGGGCATCATTCCTCAGATGCTGATGGTCCAGTCTCCCCGTCCAAGGCTACCACCTACACCAAGAAGCCTTCCCTGATGCTCTGGACAGAACTGGTTCTCCCTCGGCCTCTTAGCCCTGGAGAACAACTATGGACTCGCCTGCCTCCTGCCTCCAGCCAGGCTCTCGAACGTACCTAATACTCAGCCTGGTAAACAGTAGTAGGTGTTCATTAAATCCATGTTTACAGAACAAAAAGATAAGAGTGAAGAGCAGTGGAAAAGGCCACAAAAGCAGGTGCTCAAGACTCTGTGCGGTCTCCATGAGGAGCACCTTCTCACAGTCCTCAGAGCAGATGGAAGCCAAGGCTGCAGCCAGGAGATCCGAAGGACCTCCACACAGCCATCTCCTGACTTCACCCCAGGACACAAAGCTAAGTGGCAGGGACACAAAACAGGCCGTGAAGGACATTTTCAGGATGTGGAGAAGTGCACCCACCCCTATTTGGAGCTTCCGGTTTGGGGCTGCAGTGCCTAATAATGGCAGGTAAGTGACAGTGACCCAAAGGAAGGGTCCTGTGAGCCCCGTCTGAGAGGGATGGCATCAATGCCAGTGCTGCCCCCTCCTGCACTCAGAAGACAGGTCAGGAGGACCCTTGTAGAGGGGCATCAGGGGTGCCAGTTCCCTTCACCCAGAGTAGGTTAGGAGTACCTACATCCCATGGGACTTGCCAAAATACTTCATGGCATCCTGGCATCCAGCAGACTCCACACTTCCTAGGGAGCCTGGGGGCTGCCAAACTGCCCTCTGGAAGAGGACCCAAACCCTTAGCCAGCCCAGTGACAACAGCAGCCTATAACTTAGGTTACCAATGCCTGCCTCAGTGGAATTGTCACAGGGAACAGCTCAACCCGAGCATTTGCAGGGTTGGCATGAGTGTACCAGCCAGGGCCTGGGGGTGGGGGGGGCTATTGCTCCTGAAACTTCCTGCCAACTCACCTTGTCCGGAGTCAAGAGGGATCTCACCCCAAAGCTCATGCAGCCGATGAGTGCATGCTGCCTAGGAGAGGAGCAGAGAGTGAGTTCCCTGCTGTCTGTTCAAGGAAGGCTTCTGTCAAATGTTCCACAGTCTACGTGTGGCTTCCTGAGGGCACCTCCACCTGCCTCTGTTCCTTCCCACTTTGTGAGGTGGCACAGGAGTTCTACTCAGTTTCCCGAGGAAGACACCAAGCTTCATTGGTCCCCTTCCCAAGGTCACAGAAGAGTTCGTAGTCGGTTCTGAGGGAAGCCAAGCATCCTAGGCCTGGGCAGATGCTGCATTCTCTGATGCTACGGGAGCTCAGGACTACCTTGAGTGTCTTAGCTGTTCTGGTGCTGGATAGGTGGAGAAGACTGTCCCCGTCAGCGTCTCTTAGCCATCACCTCAGCTGGGGACATGCAGTAAGAAGAAAGTTATGGGGCCTCAGCTCACATAGTTTTTGCCTTGCATCCAAGCGGGACCTTAGCAGTTCTCAGATGGCTAGAGACCAAGTTCCAGACATACCTAACACACAAAAGTCACAATGACCCACAATGACCTGTCTGACCTGTCAGTGGGACAGGCAAGCATGAGCCAAGGTCAGGCCTCACACATTGTCAGACTAGGGTCACAGGAACTCAAAGTGCCTAGAGAATGTCCACCCACCAGGAACTCATTAACAGCTTTTAATAAGGATGGTACCGATCAATGCTAATAAAATGCCAAAGCTCGCTGTTGTCAGAGCAAAGGACCCGTACAAAGCTGTAGTTTCATGGGAAACCGAACCACAAAAGACAAACAACGGCTGTGTCTGGCAGGTGGGACTGTTTGCGATTTTGTTTTCAAATCTTCACAGGAACAGTCACTGCTTTTGCAGTGTGGGGTGGTGGATAAACGTATTTTTAAGGACCTCTACTGTACAGCCTTCTACTTGACCCTGATACCACACAGTTAGACTGGAGCACAACACTGGCAGCCCCATTCGCACTGTCTGTAGGGCCCACGGAGATGGAGGATTTGGTCTGTCCTGGAAGGCACAGGGTTAAAGCAAAGACGGACAGTAAACTCCCTGCAGATACACCTCCCAGAAGGCTGGTCTACAGGGCCCAGGCCCGGGAGGCTACTCGGAAGAGTACAGCATCGAAGGGCTGCCCAAAAACCTGCCTGAGATTTGAGCTGTAGAGCTCATGCCTAGGTCCAAACCAAACTGGTTCAAGGCAGCGTCTGGGCACTGGAACCCCGGGGAAAGCTCTCCAGGGATTCTGCAAGGCACCCACCCACGGTCAAGCGGAGGTCAAGAAGCCTCCATAAATACATATTGTTTGGATTCTCCGGAAAGGGTGGCAGCTTGCCACCTGATAGTGGTAAGCATAACAAAACTAGCTTCTCCCAGGCGGCCACGTCAAGTGAGGGGCAGCACACAGGCAACACTGGCCACCCGCCCACCTGCCTATCCAAGTTCTAAACCACAGCCACAGGACCGGGGCCTCGGAGTTCACCCAGCTCTCTCTCTCCACGGCAGCACTTGGCTACTTCTCCAGCTGTGGCTCATGGTCTCCTCCTCCTCCCTGTCCCCTCCTATCATTAATAACTCGCTCAAGGAGGATAATGCAGTCCCCGCCCCCAATAAGACATCCCTTCACCTTCCGACCCCACTGTTCTGAACAAATATTCTTCCCTCCTGGAAAGGGGTCAGAGCCGCACTAGCGGGTGAGACTGCCCCAAGCAGCAATCGCCCAGACAGCTGCCACTCGAGGACAGCCTTTGCAGGCTCTACCAATGTGCTCCTAGCAAGTTTGTTCTCATCAGCACAGTTGGGAGAGCCTTGGCTGGTAGGGAGGTGATGCACACTCGGCACTCAGGCTGGCCAGCGCTGCAAATTTTCCCATCTCCAGGCTGGGGCTTTAGCTGTAATAAACACTGCCTCTCCCTACTCTGCTGTAAGTGGAATTTTTATTCCCTGGTGCTTAGAGAATGCTAAATGGTTAATAGCCTCCCTCGAGCTTTGCTTCCTGCTAAGGGGCCTCCAGTGATTTCATGATCATTCAGGCAGAGTAAATTGTCACAATTAATGTCCACAAGCAGGAACCTCTCTCTCTGAGTGTTCTTCAATTAGCTACTTTTGAAGGCTGCTTTTGAAAACCCTTTGGAGGAAAAACTGCTTATATAAGCAGCCCAGGCATACAGCAAGGTACCAGCCAGCTTACCAACTTGAGCCCATGCAGGAGAGGCTGGCAACTTCCCTCCGTAAAGAGGCTCTGGAACCACGCCTTGGTCACTGCTGATTGCCAAGGCTTCAGCTCCAGGCTTCTGCACTCAGCAAAGGCTTGACAAATGGGGGAATCCATCATGCCCATGGTTGGCAGGCCCTGGGCAAGGAGCCCCAGTATGAAGGAAACAAGACAAATAGGCAGGAATTTCAATGGCAGTTCAAGACGGCAATACAGGCCCTGGCACAAGACGGATCGAGATTGACAGATGAACGGTGCGGGGCCACAAATTGGGAAGGCGCAAGAGGCAGCTGGGGCTGGGAGGCTTGCAGGAGGTCGCAGGAGCAGGGCCAGAAAGGATGAGAGGGAGAGCATTTCAGAGAGGGGGACCAACCAGTGCAGAGGCTCAGAGGTGACTTCACGGAGCACACGGCAGAACAGGGCTCAGCTTACTGCAAGGCGAGGTGCGTTATGTTTTCGGGAAGGCACACTGATCTGCTCACTGAAGAACCTTGAACCATTTTGTATCACAGGGTTATATAATGTAATCTTTATTTCTAGTTTGATGCCTTAAATTGAGTCCATGTCTTTCTATTCACTTTTTTTCTTTGGGCTGCTTACCCATCACTAGTCACAAGCCTTCTGATGTTAGGGCCGCTATACTTGGCACGGAGATCCTGTTCGTAACAGGGGTAAAGGAGGGGCTGCCCCTACAGTGCTGAGGGCGGTGCCTGCCGCACGGCAAAGCAGACCTTCCATGTACGCAGTTACTGTTTTCATAGAAGACTGCATCCTTTAATTTTATATATAATATATATATAATATATATATAAAACTTAAAAACACTTGTTAATATCCGTCTACAACAGTTTTTCACATGACAAGTCAAATGTCTGTCTTTCGGAGGAACAATTACATCTTTCTCCAAGGCTGTTCTCTGGCTACAAGTTCAGAAGGTGCTTTAAACAATATTATAAGCTTCAGTTTGCCTTTCTGCTTATTATCCAGCAAGACGTCCAAACAGTTTAGCTCTGTGTTCAAAGTGCCTGAGGAATTAGATGGATTACCATTTTCTGAGTGTGATTACGTCTTTATAATTCTGTTTCTTTAGAAATTGTCATATATATGTGTGTGTATATATATATATATATATATATATATATATATATATTACTGATAAGACATGAAAATGTGTGGGGTTTGCTTGAAAACGATCCACTGGAGGAGGGGCAAGTGAGTGGGCAGAGACAAAGATCAACCACACGTTGATAACAGATGCATTGGGGCTATGCATCTCTGGGGGTGATATCTACCTTCTAGCTTTGCATGTCTTTGAAAAGGTCTACAGTTTGTTTAGTTTAGTTTAGTTTATCAAACTATTTTATGAAGGTAGCTATAATTTTTAACATTCACAGAACTTTGAAATTGAAAAAAAAAAGCCGACTTAGAGATGCCTGCATTTTACAGACAAACAAACTGAGGCCCAGAGCTGAGGAAAGGCTGGCCCACAGTGGCCCAGCCAGTGAGAATGGTCCTCCTTCACAGGCTCAGTGGTTCTCCTCAGCTCCTGCCAAGATGCTGACATACACTGACATCCACAGCTCCGCCCCAGGATGCTGTGTGTCTGTGATCCGGTGGCGTCCGTGCACAGGTGTATATACGCACACAGGCCAGAGGACCGTGTCAGGTGCCCTGCTCTGTGGACCGCCACCTCATCCCCTCAGGACAAGGTCTCTCACTGAAGCTGGAGTGAGGCAGGCAACTAGAAACCCGTTCGTTCATCTTCGTGTCTCTGACCGCCACTGTGCTGGGGTGACCGGCTTGTGTGCTGCCACGGGATTCGAACTCAGGTCCTCATGCTCGCACCGTGAGTGCTCTCATCCACGGAGCCGCCACCTCCCCAGCCCCACCTGGAGTTCTCTGTACGTCCCGTCTCCAGTAGGAATGGACAGCCACCACCAGGAGGCTCCTTCCTTCTTGCTGACTACAGGAGGCGGAAGGTGCCCACCGCACATTTGACTGGCTGGTTCATACAAAGCCACACTATGTGTGCTGAAACATCTCAAGGTTGGAGGAGCAAGCCACTGGCAGGGAAGGAGAACGGCTTTGGAGTCATCGTTTGTCACCCGCGGGAGGTGGGCCAGCGCACTGCGGTGTGACTAACAAGCATGGACTTGCTTCTCACTGCCTGGATCTGCCGCTGATTTTTTTTTTCTGCATTCCAGCTGTGTTACTTTGGACAAGTTACATAACCTTTCTGTGCCTGTTTCCTCGCCCATAAAAGAGCAGAGTGAGGATTAAATTAGATAAGGCATGCCATGGGCTTAATGTTCACGCAGAATAAATGCTTGTTAAGTACCGGCCATTATATAACCTCAAGGTCTTGTGCCTTCATAGGCCTTTGAAGAGAAAGACAATCGTAATTCTCACCCCTCCAAACCTGTGTTAAGTGAGATAATGCATGGGAAATGCTTTGGGATGGAGGACGGTTCAGTAAACTTGCCTCCACCTTCCACGATGGTCTTTCACATCGATAACTTGTATGTCTGTCCTTCAGAGAAACACAATTTGATTTGGGAGCATTTGGCAGAGCCTGGGTTTCCTGGAGTTGCTGTCCGTCTGCTCCAGCTCAGAGGCCTCCTCTGGTCGATAAAGAAGAGCCGGCTAAGAGCGCTGGGAGGCTGAAAACAGCCAGCGTGGTGCTGACAGGCTCCATCTGCTCTGCAGGCAGGCCTGCCTAAGCCTGCCCCAGCCCTCTTGAGCTTAGGGCTGGGGCTCTGACCACGAGGCTGGCTGTGTTTAATACGAATCGCACTTTCCCAAAATAGGCAACTGGTGGAGACAGGGCCCTGATCAGGCGGCCTCGCTGGGGACTGACTCACTTTCCCCAGCTTTACTTTCTCTTCCAAAAAACGTGACCCGCATTGCTGGCTCCCCCGGCAGCTCCGCCTGCCTGCTTCCCATGGAAGGCTGAGCTCCAGCCCTCCAGGAGCGTGCTGAGTATCCCTCTGCTTCTCTGACACTCCTCCGGGCTCCTTTAGGGCTCCTGATGCAGTTTACTGACCCTTCAAAGCCAGGGCCCCACACTCAGTGTGTCCTGGGTGGTCCATCTCATCCATTCCATGCATGCACCACCAGCAGACACCACGGTCTCAGAGATGCTCTAGACACCAGCATCTCACCTTCCCTTTCATACACTACTGGTGACACCACCAACCACCCAAGAGGTATATCTGCCCCTTCCTCCTGTTCGCACAGCTAAGTACCCCATCCAAATACTGCTCCCACCAATTCTCTCTTTCACCTTGTCCTGCCAAAGACCTTCCCAAATCTTAGACCCACAGCACGTATCTGCCACTCTCTTGCCAGGGTCTTCAGGTATGTCCCCAGTGGCCAAACAGCATCCCAAACACCAAACTGGTTTCTTCAGTTCACCATGGGGCCTTGTTCAAGTGTAGACCTCCAGGTTCTGCTCATGGAGACGTGGGCTGGGCCATCTGACGTGGCGTCTGGGAACTCGTGTTCCACACAGGTGCCCTGGGAGACTCTGATGTCCAACTGGGACAGAGAACTGCCAGCACTAAAAAAGACCACCCTTCTCTAAAGAGGATACACCCTTCTCTAAAGGACCTATGGATCCACCTGGCTGGGCCTACGCCAACTCCATCTCAGTTCTGTCGACGGCCTACTTTGCACCTGATCCTCCCAAAACACTGGTAAGTCCTCAGATGCTGTCTCACTGCACAAACCCACGCTCGCCACTCTGTCCTTTGGGGCCAGGAGGCAATACAGTGACAAGGACAGAATTTAGACACAGCTGTCTGTCTTCTCTTCCCAGGTCCACTCTTCACCGTTTGGGTGACCCTGAGCACGGTCTAGTCTCCCTGAGGCTCGGTCATCAACTCTGGAAACAGCACAACCTGCACACACGAGATAATGCATTCTTGGCTGGACCCAGCTCAGCACCCGCAAGTGGGGCACCTGTTACCGGTGTGGTGCCCCCTCCCTCACCCATACCCTCAAGTCTCTTTCCTTCACTCCCCTCCAGAGAGCTGCAGGGGTGCTAGCACCTAGAATGTTGGCTGCCGGGAAGCGGCAGCTGAGTGGATGATGGAAAAAATGGATGGGTGAGGTGAGTAGGACCGTGAGCATCACTCTGTGATGAACAGTAGGTTCCTTCAAAACAAAAACTCTTCATTCTCAAGGTTAAATGGGACCCCTAAAAGACCATAGTAGCTACTGGGATTTATGTTTCCAAGAAGAACCCAGGAGTTAGGGACACAGATCGGTGGTAGAATGTTTGCCCGGTATGTACAGGGCCCTGGGTTCAATCTCCAACACAGTGCACACACAAAAAGCATTCAACCTCAAAACATTTTCCAGGTCTAGGCTGGAGAGCTGAGCTGATTTTCACTCACATGGGCCCCTGAATTCAGTTCATTCAGTTCTACTCTGTGCCTGCTGGACAAAGTTACTGGTGACCAGGTCTCCCAGATTCATATAGTGCCTTTGTGAAGCGAGCCCCGCGCTGCTCCTGCCCAGCTGGTCTTGACAGGCCAACGGTCGGCTTTCCTTAGCAGCCAGTCCCCACCCTTGCCTACGGCGCCCCTGCCCCACACTGTAACAGCTGCCTCTCATTTTCAGACCCACGACTGCCTCCTTTGTCTCCCACCACCTGTGAGATCAGCCTGTTTCGATATCCCCCCCACCCTGCAAAAGTTCTGCACCCCTAAACCAGGCCTCCTCAGGACAGCCTGAGGCCACCACCGCGAGCCCTGCTTCCTCACTTCTTCATTGCTTTCTGCTTACTCACGCCTGGCCCAGAATGCCCCTTCCTTCTCTCCTTGTCTTACTCCTACTCTCTGCCCAGGTTCAAAATTCCACTTTTCCCATGAAGCCCTCCCAGGCACCTTCCCACACTTACTCTCTTTTTCATTCATCCCTTTCTAGTTTGTGAGGTTAGTATTCATTACATGTGTGTACTGGGTACAGTGGTGATTCAGAGCAAAGTAGGCCCAGTGAAAACAGGGCACAGAGTCACAGGGAACTGGCTTACGTGTACGCTGTCACTGTAACTTATCTCCGGACAATGCCTAACGTCCCTTCCTGGGACAGTGGGCACCTTCAGAGCAGAGTCTCGTGTTCGCCAGTGGGCATCCCTGGGGAGGCTTAAGCCCTGCCTTGTTGATACCTAGGGCTCACAAATATTCACTGACAATGGCGTCTTGGCCTCCTCTTGTTCATCCATGTGATAGGGTCTCAGGGCTTCTGTATGTATAGTCACTGCCATTTACTTACCCCAAAGGCATTTCTCCCTTACCGCATGCTGGCACCCCAAACCCAGGGAAGGTTCTCAGTCCAGCTCAGCAGGTCCCCTCACCTGGTCTCACTGGCCCTGTTCCACACGGTCACCAGAAGACGCTTCTGATCACCCTCCTCTGGGACAGGGCTAGGAAGCAAAGCAGAGCGTTAGGAGGGCCCAGCTCTCGGCCAGGCTCACAGCACTGACCACGTTGACAACAGCTGAGAAGGAATCTACAAACGGCTAAATATAGTGCCATAGTGTGGGAGAAGAGTTCTCACGGGCACAATAGCGTGTAGACTATACTGTGAAGGACTCAAAGGGGGCTCGGGCACACCATTATGAAACAATCCCGTCTTATAAACATAACGCGGAGGCACACGCAAACATGAACGAAGGGCTGGGACAAGAAATGCAGCGAGGCTATCTGTGTGAGCAGGAGGGCTCTGAAGATCTTCTATTTTCTCCTTTTTGTTCACCCGTATTGTCCAATTTTGCATAATATGCAAAATTATGTCATGAAGTGAGGAGAAAACCAAAATATTATGATTCATTCTCACCAACAGGAAAAGACTAAGTGTCCATGACCTTCCCATTGGCCCCAGAGTGCCCAGAGATGGGGGAAAGAAATAATAGTAATAACAACAACAGCAGCAGCTCCCACTCTGATGGGCGCTGCCCCATGTCCCAGTTAAGAGTCCCCAGCTCCCCCCGGGGGGAACTATTATTAACTCCATTCTACCAATGAGGAAGCTGGGGCTCAGGGAGGTTAATGAGTTTAAATAAAAAAGGGGGGATGAGCAGGTAATAGCGCCCCTCAGCTCGGAAAATTCCTTCTGTTGAAGATGAAAACTTGGCCAGAGGCACAGTGGGAAACTGGCTACTCTTCAGGGGGCTGCCAGCCCTAGTGACTGTAGTTAGGAGAACCAGCCAAGTGATGTTATTGCTGCATGCCTTACTGCTGGGCCCAGGCCAGGGATGCAAGGACGCCGGGGATGGAGAAAACAAAGGCATCCTTCAGAAGCCGCTGTTTTTCTGCTTAGATCTGTGTCTAGATCTGGCAAACAGAGATCTTTCCAGACAAAACCTCCCCGCCTGCCTCTCCCCTTGGGGGCTGAGCTGCTCCTGACTCTTACAAAAAGAAGTGCTCGTGGAACGCTGGGTCTCTGCAGTCTGGAATGGTCTGCGTCTTCTGAGGGCATTGCTGGTTGTCTTCCGGGATCAAAGAGATCTGGAGTGAGAAAGTGAAAACATTAGGCGATCACAGAGCCACATCATCACCTCAGCCCCGCAGCTAGCTCTGCAAAGTGGCTCCAAACTAAAAGCTTCCCAAGGTTCTTCAAAGCAGCCTGTGAAGAGGACAGAGCAGAGTCCCCATCACAAACACGGAGCCTGGGGCCAATGGGATGGACACTAGGACAGGGACACCACCTTCTCGGTGGTCCCAAGAAGGCAGCTATAGGTCTGCGGAGACAGGGTACAACTGTATCATCTCTACTCCTGCTTCAACCAAGAACGGTTTCCCCAAAGCCAAAGGCCTCCTCCCTTCTAAGTCCCACAGAAGCCCCTGGGCATTGTGTTTCCTCCCCAGGAAGCCTCAAGGCCATGCTTTCACTCCAGGACTCCTTTTCCCCTGCCTCGGGCAGTCCGCCTATTCCCGTCAGGCCTTTCTCCGGCTCTTGGCAGGAAGGGCTTCAGGAAGTAAAGGGAAGAGAGCATCAGGCCTGCACCTGGCATCTTGGCTGCCACACTCTGGGATGTCCCTGGCCTTTGGCTTCCTGTATCCTTCACCCCCATGGTCCTCTGCATTCACTGCAAGGGTCTAACCCAGAAAGACCTGGCAGCCCCCAGAGACACCCCTTCCACTCTCCTGCCCAAGTTTGACTAGGTTCTGCCTCATTTGGGCAGGAAAGGGGACGAAGACGCTGCTGCCCACAAGAAAGCTTGTGTGTCAGTCACCAGCATGGTCACAGGGCCCACTATGTGGATCACCAAGAAAACCCCTAAGAGTCTAGCTCTTGCCTAAAGCCCTAGGGAACAAGCCAGTCAAAAAGCAAGGGTCTAGGCCAGTGTAGGGCCTCATAAATAACCAGAGACCCAGCAAATGAGGTGGTAGCCACCACCCCAGGCCCCAAACCCACAGGTGTGCTAGGACCTTGAGACTCTACTCAGAGACATGGCTCCTCAGTACCTCACACCAGCCTCTAGTCCCATCAGATACCTTCACGTAGGGATCACAGACGCCAGGCTCTCTGCTCATCAGGCCTTTGCCTTCTATAACTAGGAGAGAATCGAAAGGTTATGGTGAGTGAGTGAGTGAGTGAGGATATGTACACGGCACAGGCATACACTCACTAATGGAAGGATATGGAAATACAAAGCATATCCCTGGGCAGTAGGACTCTGACCCTTCATCCTGGTCTCTTGGTTGACATGCTAACTAAAGGTTGTTACTCCATCTCTGCCTAGTGTATTGCCACTCCCCGACCCCTGCGCTCTGGCAGCACCCTCACCATGCTATAGAATGGAGTGCACTCTTTTCCCCAAGTCTTTCAGCCACAGGGGAACTTACAATGCATTCAGTCCAAGCCATCACTGAGTGGGGGAAATGTGGCTGCCAGGAGGACCCAAAGAATCACAGAATCTCGTGTAGAATCACAGAGCAATGAGAATGGCAGTTAGATTAGGACCTATGTCTCTTGATTCCCAGTCCAGTGCTCTCTCTCCTTTCATGACAGCCTCCGGGAACGGGAGCCCAAGCTGCATGGGGCACTGTGCTACGCTGTGGGCAGTGTCACAGAACGGTCCCAAGCTCGCAGTCCAGAGGCAGGCAGGCAGGCAGGCCGTGAAGGCAGCTGCACCTTTCACTAACCGTGTGTACTAGAGCAAGTACCTTGGACTTTCTCAGACTGAGTGCTCGATGATATTCACTCACATGACACTTGTACTTTTAAAATAAACGAATGTTTCTAAAGTGCTCAGGAGACTGCCTGACCAACAAGAAACAATTCTACAAAATGTTTGCTGGCTGAAAAGAATGAATAAGGGCTGGGGTGTGGCTCGGTGAGTAGAGTGTTTGCCTAGTGTGTATGAAGCCTGTGATTCAATCACTATCAACAAAACAGAAAATAAATAATAATAATAATAATAATAAAGATAGACAGACAGGAATAATAGATTAAAGGCTAAGAATGGTTCTCTTACCTGAGGCCCACAGCAATCAGGTAATAGGTCTAACAGAACCCACATCTCTCATTTTCTTTTGTGTTTGCTTTGGTCGGGGCCCGGGTTTGGCTCACACAGAGCCCCAGTAGTCTGGGGCATGAGGCCTGGGAAGCCAGGCTGGAAGGGATGAAGAGCTGAGGCTGGGGGAGAGCCAAAGCAAACTACACAGGACAAATGGTGTGGCAGGGGCCAAGATGCGTTTTGCAAGAACTGTTTGCTCAGCTGGAGAGAGACCCTGGCAGGCCCGGAACACCCCTCCTTTGGTCCTTGGGAACTTCACATTGGGCCCCTTAAGGCCAGGAGCAAAGGACCTCAGGCGCCCGCTGTCCTCTGTTCTGTATCCCAGCTACTGTTCCCCGAGAGTATATTCTTCCCCTGTAGGGTGTGGCTTTCCTGGGGAGGATCCAGGCCTGGTGACCTCCTGGGTCTTCCTGACTACCAGAGGCAGTAAGGTAGCCCTGACCACACCCTCACTGCAAAACCATCATGGTGGAGAGACCAAACTCATGGTGGCACAATATGGCCAGACTATGATGAGGACCCCAAACAGGGAGCAACAAACAGCCCCTGGAAGTGGGTAAGGACCAGGGGTCACTCCTGGCGGGGAGCAAATCCAGCCTTCCTTTCTGAGGCTCACCGATGTCCTGGGTCGGCTCAATTCTTGCAAAATCAGAGGAAGGAAAGGTTCGAATTCAACAAAAGAGGAAGGTTATTGCAGACACGTAGCTCCCCCGTGCCAAGACAGAGTGCACGGACAAGCAGGGTGCAGTCCTGAGGAGTGGGGCTTGTGGTAGATAGAATGGTATGGAGAGGATCTTGCACAGCAAGAGCTAGGAAGCCTAGAGAGGCAGGTAGGGCCTTCCACACTAAGCTGAAAAGTCCAGACGTCAAGGGCCACAACAGAAGCTTGGCAATACTCATACACTGGGTGGAAAGAAGAACAAAGGGATTAAGTGGGCAAGTCACCTCCTCTCTGGCAACCCACAACACCACTTAGACACAGGGAAGCACTTCTCCCTGGTGCCCACAGCCCCTAGCACAGAGGCAATGCTCAACCGCTAACTTTGCCGTTTATGGCTTTCCCTCTTATCTTACTAGACACCTCTACTGTGAGCTGGGTGCTTTACACAATATAACTCGTTTAATCCTTGAAACAACCCGGGAGTGAGAGGGTTGTTATTACCAGCACTGCGTGACGGGAAAACGGAGTTTGCTCAAGTTTACTTAGAAAGCAAAGCATCAGAACCAGGACTCAGCTTCTAGTGGCTTGGCTCCAAAGGCTATGACCTTAACCATAACACTGTGCTGCCCATCATTGTGTGAATAAACAAAATAATGAGGGTTTTTTTTTTTTAAAGGCAGCAGGGAGGCTAGGAAGGCTTTTCCGCAGTCCCTGCTGTGTCTGGCCCAAGTGTAACTTTGAGATGTCTAGAGACAGTTGCAGCTTGCTGGGAAAACGGGCCTGGTAGACAGACTCCAGACTTAAGAGTGAGGACAGACGCTGGGTCTACAGAAAGTGTCCCAAGTGAGCACCCACTGTGCCAGCCGACAAATGGCAGAATGCTATAGGGAAAGGAAAGATACCATAGTGACACCATGCCCTGTCTAGCTCCGGGCAGGAGGAGACCATCCCTCTCCTCCCTGAGTGAGCCTGCACATAGCCATACTCACTGTGCAGCAGCAGAACCCGATCCTGGGCATCAATGGACAGCTTCAGCTGACCTAAGAACAATAAAAGAAACACCTTTACCTCGGCTCCTGGTGGGGGAAACTAATAATGGTGGTAAAGGAGCCCTGTGTTCACGTGAGGCCATCCAAAGACGTGCGCAATCTCTGATTGGAAGGGGCCTCTGAGACACCCGCTTCTGCTTCCTCTCCCCATCAGGAGTGCCTTCTGCAGTGGTTCCAGGCCAACAGATGCCATTCTGGTGATGAGGAACTCATCCCTGCACAGGGAGGCAGCCCAGGCAGACAGTGGACAGTGTCCATGTTGGCAAAGACACTGTTACATTCTGCCACAAAGAGAGCCAATTGCCTTTGCTGGTAATATACACTGGAATTTATGTGCACACCCTTCAGTCAGGTGCCTGCCTACCAGGACAAACTACTCATATATGCACACAGGCTACTAAATGAAAGGAAACATGGAAACAGTTGTACTGGGGAATGGTATGGTTCTATGTGGCCTGGCATGGGGATATTATTGACAAGGTTTTTTTGTTGTTTTTTTTTTGTTTGTTTGTTTTTTAGATTACTTTATGTGTGTGAGTGTTTTGCCTACATGTATATCTGCGCTTCTTTGCATGTCTGGTGGCCCCAGAGGTCAGAAAAGGGCATCTGACCCCCTGGAACTAGAGTTAGGGATGGTTATGAGACACCATGTGAGTGCTGGGAACTGAACCCAGGTCTTCTGAAAGAACAGTAAGTGCTCTTAACCAATGAACCATCGCTCCAGCCCCAACAAGTTTTTAAAAGGGAAAGCAAAACACCTGGTGTGTGTGCATGAACATTAAAAAGGATACCAAATTAAAAAGAGAATTGTCTGGAGGAAAGAGAATGGGAATTGGACGGAAGTAGTTAAGAATTCCAATTTATGTTGTTTTCCAACTCTTGCTGTTTTCACAATATAAATGCATCCATGAACAACAAGATTTTCATAACTAAAATTGCAACACTCAGAAGGTAGAAGCAGGAGGATCTCCAGTTCAAGGCCAGCCCTGGCTACACAGCAAGATCCTGTCACACACACACATACACACACACACACACACACACACACACACACACACACACACACAAGGATCATGTAGCTCAGTGCTACAGTGTTCACCTAGCACACATTCAAGGTCCTGGGTTCAACTTCCAGCACCACAAAGATAGAAAGAAAGAAAGAAAGAAAGAAAGAAAGAAAGAAAGAAAGAGAGGGAGGGAGGGAGGGAGGGAGGGAGGGAGGGAGGGAGAGAGAGAGAGAGAGAAAGAAAGAAAGAAAGAAAGAAAGAAAGAAAGAAAGAAAGAAAGAAAGAGAAAGAAAGAAAGACACCAAAGAGGGGAAGGGAAAGATGGAAAGATGATAATGGATCTGGGATGGGAAGCAGGTGAAAAATGGAGACCTGAGTTGGGTGGTTGTTTCTGGCTTCTCTCATTTTTTAAAAAATAATTTATTTAACTTTATTTTTTGTGCACTGGTGTGAAAGTATCAGGTCCCCTGGAGATGGAGTTACAGACAGTTGTGAGCTGCCATGTGGGTGCTGGGAATTGAACCTGGGTCCTCTGGAAGAACAACAACCAGTGCTCTTAACCACTGAGCCATCTCTCCAGCCCCTCCTCCCATTTTTATTTAAATAAAAGAAAAATAAAATGAGGCGTCAGGTTAAGAAGGAGAAATGGCCCACCGGGCAAAGCGCTTATGTGCAAGTGTGAGAACTTGAGTTCAGACCCGAAGAACCCACATAAAGCCTGGCACAGTAGTGCATCAGTAATCACCGTATTCCTATGAGAGAGAGGAGGTGGAGACAGAATCCCCAGAAGCCTGAGGGCCAATGAGGCTGGTGTATGCATCGGAAGACATCAAATGTCTTAGTTAGGGTTATTATCACTATGACGAAACACCATGACCAAAAGCAAGTTGTGGGGGAAACAGTTTATTTGGCTTTCAGTTCCACACATAGTTCATCATTGAAGGAAGTCAGTGCAGGAGTCTGGAGTTGATACAGAGGCCATGGAGGGGTGCTGCTTACTGACTTGCTTGCTCCCTATGGCTTTCTCAGCCTGCTTTCTTTTCTTTTCTCTTTTTTTTCTTTTTGTTTGTTTTGTTTTGTTTTGTTTTTGTTTTTGTTTTTTGAGACAGGGTTTCTCTGTGTAGTTTTGGTGCCTGTCCTGAATCTCGCCTGGTCTACAGATCTACTTGGCTCTGCCTCCCGAGTGCTGGGATTAAAGGCATGTGCTACCATTGCCCAAGAACTCAGCCTGCTTTCTTATAGGACTCTAGACCACCAGCCCAGGGGTGGCCCCACCCCCAATGGGCTGTCCCTTCCCTATCAACAATTAATTAAGAAAATGCCTGCCAGTGGTGGTGGCACATGCCTTTAATCCCAGCACTCCAGAGGCAGAGGCAGAGGCAGGCAGATCTCTGTGAATTTGAGGCCAGCCTGATCTACAGAGCAAAATCCAGGACAGGCACCAAAGCTACACAGAGAAACCCTGTCTCAGAAAAAAAAAGAAAAGAAAAGAAAGAAAGAAAAGAAAAGACAAAAGAAAATGCCCTACAAACTTGCCTGTAGCCCTTTTTTTATTAAGAAAAAAATTTTTTTCATTTTACACAACAATCAGAAATCCCCCTCTTCCCTCCTCCCGCCCCCCAGCCTTCCCCCAACCAACCCCCCATTTCTTCCCACAAGAAGGCAAGGCCTCTGAGGGGGAGGCACATCCAGTAGAGGCAAGTCCAAGCTCTTATCCCCGCCCCCCCCCCCCCCCCCCCCACCTCAAGGCTGCAGGAGGTGTCCCATCATAGGTAGTGGGCTCCAAAAAGCCCACTCATGCACCAGGGATGGATTCTGATTCTACCACCAGGAGCCCCCCGCCCCCAAGCAAATCAAGCTACACAATTGTCTCGCCATGCAGAGGGCCTAGTCCAGTCTCATGCAGGCTCCACAGCCATTGATCCAGCTTTCATGGGTTCCTACTAGTTTGATTTGGTCACCTCTGCAGGTTTCCCCATCATGATCCTGATGCACTTGCTCATAGAATCCCTCTTCTCTCTCTCCCCGACTGGACTCCTGGAGCTCGGCCTGGTGTTTGGCTGTGGATCTCCTGCAACCCAATCTTATGGAGGCGTTTTTCTCAGTTGAGGTTCCCTTCTCTCAGATGACTACAGCTTGTGTCAAGCTGATATAAAACTAGCCAGCACAAGAGACCATGTTTCAAGCAAAGTGCAATCAAGAACCAACATCCAAGGTTGTCTTTGGACCTCTACATGTGTGTCTTGGCACATTTACTCCCACATTTGTGTACATAAACACACACATACAGAGAGAGAGAGAGAGAGAGAGAGAGAGAGAGAGAGAGAGAGAGAGAGAGAGAGAGAGAGATTGGGGGAATTAAAAACCAACCAAGCAAACAAACAAAAACCCCTCAAGTCATCCTCATAGACAGCCATACCCATCACTTCCCAGACATATCAAAAATTCTCTGAATCCAGTGGTCTCCCTGTAGCCTCAGGCAGCTACAAGACTCCACCTACCCAGGGACATAAGCTGAGAGGCCAGAGGAGCAGGGCTAGGCCCCTGTACTTGCCCCACATATGACTGCTGCCTAGCAATCCCCTCCCTCAGCTCTGTCACCTCCAGTAAGGGAAGTTCACTTCCTGTAACAAGAGTACTTTCTCTTTTGATAACTATTTGATGCTCCATCTAAACAGGCTGTTGGTACCTTTCATTGACCTCATTTGGTCCTCCAGCTGTGGACTGTCTCCTCTAGACCTGATGTCCAGAGTCCTTCAGCCGTTCCTCAGGCATAGTAAGATGCCCTGTCACTATCCCAGCTGTTCATCTCTGTGTGTGCCCTCGGCGTGGGCTGGCGCCTGAGGCTTCATTACTGACTAGAAGACAAGCAGCCTTTGGATAACAAAAAGAAGGGAGTCTTGTGTTTCAAAATTCTGCGTGAGGTCCCCAACCACAGTCACCTGGAATGCCTTGATTCTCACACTGATACAATCCACAAGCTATTCAGACTCCAGCCTTCTGCCCCTCAGAATTCTTACTGCTCTCCTGACCAGGTTGCAGGCCCCAGAAGCCCAGGAAGCCCATACTAGTTCCAGACCCAACTGCCCACTTCTCTCCCAGGACCACATTGTCCATGGCTTGGAGGCAGGGCTAATGATGGGGTGAAAGTGTGCTCCAGGCTGTGATCAGAAGATACAGGAGGGTGATGAGGTCCCGGGATGAAAGGATGCATGGGAACCAGAAGGACGATTACCTCAAGGTCCCTGAAATTGCTACTCTTGGGCTCCCTAGTGCCTAGAAATCTGCTGCAGATCCAGCGCCTGCTGCAGGGTGGGGTGGGAAAGGAAGGTTTGAAACAGATGTGGCCAGCAGTCATGGGTCAGAGCTCACCAACCCAGTGGCATCTAGGTTTAGCATGAAATGTTATTTGTTTGTTTCTGAAATCACTGCCAGTGCAAAGTCAGCTCTGGCCCAAATGTGTTCCAATTTGCAAAGCCCTTGGAACTGTTATACTGTACAACACCTAACAAAAGCCCTTCCCAGAAATGGAGACACCCCCATACACAAATGGCCATCGGTTCCGTTGGGCAGACGTGAGAGTCAGAGGGCAGATCTGAACACACAGGTTTCTGTCTGTAGCAGGCTCCCAGCCTGGAAGAGTGGACAGGGGTACAGGCCAGGCCAAAGCTGTAATTTTGCTACTTTGGAGGTCAAGACCCACATGTTGAACACCACCGTCTAAGTCAAAGATTGGCTCAGAGTTCTGATGAGTCTATAAGATCTGCCAAGGAGCCGGGCGGTGGTGGCGCACGCCTTTAATCCCAGCACTTGGGAGGCAGAGCCAGGCGGATCTCTGTGAGTTCGAGGCCAGTCTGGGCTACCAAGTGAGTTCCAGGAGAGGTGCAAAGCTACACAGAGAAACCCTGTCTCGAAAAACCAAAAAAAAAAAAAAAAAAAAAAAAAGATCTGCCAAGGGCATGCACTCAAAGAGGGCCTAAGGAC